CTGACCAGTCCGATCAGATTTATTTTTCAAATTGGCTGTCTGATATAATAATAGTTACGTGTATGTGACATAGGTGCATAATAAAAAATTGCCTTCATTCGCATGAAGTTCAACATGGCAGAAAAAGATCGAGAAGCGCGGTAGCCACTTTACTAATCTCTCCATATTTCGCAATCCGTAGCATTGTATAAAGTATGAGTTGCACGATGTTAAAACTAAGATGATTAGGGTGATGATGGTTATGATTTTGACTTTGTGCACTCAGTGTTTGATATCTAAATTCACGGTTTATAAAGGGCATTTATGCGGGTGTTAACAAATCAGTGTAGGCCCCAATGTATCTATCGTTAATACCCTAATTATTCATGCGATAGGCTAATCCCCACTTGCATATGCTCGATAATGTGGTCAACTGTACGCGACGAATAGACAAATGCGGCGTCATTTAAAATCTGGATTTAGCTCTGTTTACAGTTTCAGAGAACAGTTTTCTTTTGAACAAAAACGCGTGTATGAGGAATTCAGGGATGTATGTATCGCAACCGAGTGTGAGATGTTCTTGGTGTTAACGACATAAACTGATTTTGTCAAAACTATCCAAGAATTTCCGGACGAATTCAAAACTTTGTACTCACTGTATTTGTGTGTCGTCCGCTAGATTACCTATTTCCGAACGTCACTTTTCCGAGCGGCCATTTTGTGATGTTATCATAGGCAAAGCTCGTTCCCGTCTCCATATGCGCGTCATCACTTAGCGATATGAGAGACGGAGCCCAGCTTAATGTCATCAAAGCTGCTGACGCCACTGGTAGAGTCTAGTACTCAAGCTGACCCACAAAATGAACCAAACTGTTTCATGTGCAACTCCCAAACCTAAGTATAGCTTTATCCATTTTTGTGTAATTCTGTTCAATTTTATAAAGTATGGAAAAATCTTAGGGCCATTTCCTATTAATTTAAAAAACCCGACCTGAGAGGCGGGGGTATATAGTTTTATTGCCCACGTGGTGAAGATACAGGTGGTAAGATACTTAATCCGTACGTCACACGTGTGTCGTACAAGGTTGACCTTGTTTTATTCGTTTTGATTGGATAACCGTGATCTCTGTCACACCGGGACTACCTTTTTCATTCATAAAATATCGCGAGACGACATTCATTTTACAACTACAAGGCAGAACTGAAGCAATCTCATGAGAGCGAGAAATATTAACAAACACTTAATTAAACCAAACAAGATAGTCACATGCATCAAATTCGGTTTGCTTGCTTTATAATTTATACATTGAGCTTCTACAGACATAATACAATCGAGCAATATGCATTTACAATGTACGACTAGATCTACCGTTCAATAGATGAGCGTGACGCACCCGACCACTTTCGCAACTTCCAATTTGATTTAACGTAAAAGAATAAGCGTGGTGAAATGAAGTCAGTTTAAACTATCTGGACAGAAATGTAGACGCACTTGGGATGATCCGGTTGTGCCATCAGCGTCCCCTCCGAAACGAATTTTGTGGCACTGTTTCGGGAGTTGTTTGTTCATGACTGCACGACCAAATCACTCAAAGTGAACATTTCCGATACAAATCATTCGAAAACTCCGTAGAAGTAAGTGTGCCTGATTTAATGATGATAAACACTCAGCTGATAGATCAAGGAAATCGAACCATTTTGAATGCACAGACGGGACCCCGGCATTGCGAGTGACCGACTGTTGGTCTGATACTCAAAGCGCGGCGCTAATGTGACTTTCCAAATTTTATAGCTGTCTTGCGAACTAACAACATGTCGCTTGAATTACCATAATTAAGTTGAAGAAATTCTTCCGGAAGGATCTTGAGCGTCGGTGCTGTTATGTTTGCAAACACAACTGCAGGGACATGTTGTTAATGCGTATGCTTTCGCTCGGTCAGATACCATAGAACGTCCACTCGTTTCGTAAAAATGGTATCTAACCAAAATTCTCAATATACCAAGGAATTCAGCCGGGGCGTTTTTTTGCGACCTATAACTTCAAAACTAACAAATAGATTCTTTTCAAACATGTTGAAAACTTTCTATACCAATAGGAGGAGTGCAGTGTGAAGTTTGCTTCAATATTTGGATTTTCTGAAAAAAATACAGCTATTTTTCATATTTTGACTTACCTTTTTTTTAACTTCTTTTTTTTAAACATTTTTGCGACCAAAAACTTGAACACTACTGCATGGACTCTTTTTAAATTTATCGAACAGTTCTCATACTAATAGAATACGTTTCTGAGAAAATATTACTTTTTACGTTTTCAACTTAGAAATGTTTTTTTTTACGTTAACATTTGTACAACCTATAACTTACGAACTACTTCATGGATTCTTTTCAAATTTAAGGAACACTTTCTATACTAATAGGAGAGGCTGTGATCATTCAGAAACCATCATACCATCATGTGTTAGCGTGACTTGATGAACAGTCCAGAGTCTACTTGTAACTTGGATGAAGTGAGTTTTATGGAAACCATACACCGACAGAGCTGTCAGCTGTAGCGAAGTTGCTTCCACTATACACTACTGTCATGGGTTTGGCAACTTTTGCTATTTAGAAGTTTGTTGTTTTTTATTTTGTTCACGCTTAAAACAGATTGAAGAAAGGTACTAAGTTGTTTGGTTTAGCATCTGGTACTTTTGTATAGTATCTAGCAGAAAACTGTCGGGGGAATGTGTCATCTCTCTGACAACTCTCTGCCAAGTTTATACGAAATGAACTACTCAAAGGATGTCCCCAGGTCGCTCAGGAACGATGAGTGATTCAGGATGGTCAAATAGCGAGATTTTCAGAGCATTTCTTATCATATTGCGTACAACCGACAGCAGGGAGACCATGGGTAATAAAGCAATACACTTTATTTAACACTTCTTACGCTTGAAATACGTTGCACATGCTGTCTTTCACAAAGAAAATTATCAACTACATGTACCAGAATCTATGTGAACAAAGTGTCACCTCAAAAGCCTACCAATAGATGTAGCGACCCGTGAAGATCCCGGGTAAAGTAGGTCTACAGCAACCCATGCTTGCCGAAAAAGGCAACTATGCTTGTCGTAAGGGGCGACTGACGGGATCGGGTGGTCAGGCTCGCTGACTTGGTTGATGTATGTCATCGTATCCCAATTGCGTAGATCGATGCTCATGATGTCAATCACTGGATTATTTATTTCGAGTATTTACATATCGCCGTCATATAGCTGGAATATTGCTGAGTGCGGCGTTGAAGAACAAACGAACAAGGCTTCAGGAAAATGCCATGAATGTAGCTGGTATATGGATTAGCCCGTATAGGTTTTATATACAGTGGGGTGCCTAACAGTCGTGTTTCTGTTTTGCGAAAAGTTTGATGTGTAGGGCTGTCACTGCTGACGTGCTGACTATAACAGGATACAGTCGTTAATGATTTTCTGTCAAACTAGGCGGCATATCCACCATCTCATATCACCCTACAGCAGCTGCCCAGCCACCAGATCCAGCCCAGCGGGGTGACAAACCATTCACGTCAATATTCAAGCCGACCATCAAAGGAGGCTAGAAAACTTTTGATGCAATACACCAACACAGCGGCGAACTCTTAGTTCGTCAAATTATGTTTACAATGAAATAATTTCCCCAAAATATTTAACCTACACAGGCACGTTAAAAGACAATATGAAATATATTGGTTTCAATTCATCTCCTGTTTTACATAAAAACCTACCTGGATATGTTGGATTGAAGCGCGTGACTGAAAGCTTTTAATTTAGGATCTAAAATGTTATATTGTCTAATTAGGAAGATGAATGTATATTTTCTAATTATGATTTTTGTAAATAAAAATATCAATCAAATTCTGCCTCATAATCTTTGTGGTCATCTGAAGTTTGATTATTTTAGTCGTTTATCTTTACAGTTCAGTAATATCCAAGCAGTAGTTCAAAGGCGCCCGACGGATGCCCCAATCCTTTGTGCAAGTCTAGATTAATACAAGTCATGCGCATGTTCAGTCATGTCAATTTGCATGCGCCAGAAAGTGAGTGAGTGAGTATGGTTTTACGCCGCTTTTAGCAATATTCCAGCAATATCACGGCGGGGGACACCAGAAATGGGCTTCACACATTGTACCCATGTCGGGAATCGAACCCGGGTCTTCGGCGTGACGAGCGAACGCTTTCACCACTAGGCTACCCGACCGCCCCGCATGCGCCAGAAAGAAAAAGTGGTGTTTTTTAAGCAGCTGAAATGTCCCCGTTGTAAGCGAATAGAACAGAGACGGCAGCTACCATTTATCAACTAGTCTTTCAAACACTTCGTATATTATCTGTACAGAGAAAACGAAAGGCTTCGTGTCGATCTTTCTGCTTGAGTTTGCACCTTTTCAACACAAGGTTGTACTGTCTGTAATAATGGTGTTCTCCAAGTCTTATTTTAATGACAAGCGTCATATGATACACGTATATCTGATTATCTTGTGTGGCAGTGGTAATTACATGTAACTCGACGTAGTGGCGTCTGCACGAGTGTCTGTTATTCTAAGGAGTCATTTTACTAGTTCGCGATGAATGTTCGTCGGTCAGTGACGGTGCTGGCCAGAGACTACTGTAAGTCGCTGACAGTACATATGCTATTTGTTGTGGCGACTGCCGTTGGTTAGATACTGTGCGATTAGTCGCTTGTTTTGTTGGTCAGTGTCTGTGCTGGTGGTCATTGAATAAGATGTTGGCCTGAGACTGGTGTTTATTTGCGCCTGCTGTTTGTCAGTGACTGTGCTTTTTGTGACTATCACTGGTCAGAGACTGAGTCGTCGGTCACTGCACTGTTAGTGAGTGATAATAAATAATAATAATAAATTGTGATTGTGATTGTAGGCCAGTGTCTGTGTATGGAGGTCAGTGAGACAGTTTCATGCATGTTATGAATATTATTTCCCCACATCTGATACCTGTTTCCTTAAGTATAAATAAATAAATAACTCTGGAACAATTGAGCTGGGTACTGGGCAAGTTTATTTACAGACATACAAGAATCATAATTTAAAAACAATCTTTGCCTATTGCAGAGGCATAGCGACCATCCTCCAAAGTGACTGGGGAAATCGCATAATAATCCATTTTGTAATTCTAGAATCCTAGTCAAAGAAGTAAACCCTTATATCTCAGCCTCATGATAATAATATTTTGTATTCAATTAAGCGGTTGCTCCTTTGTCACAGCTGGGGGTCTGAATGAGTGGAAGGTCTTTATTTTGGGAAAAGAGGGGGCGCTGATATAAAATACAATAACTGCTTGATGAATGCAAATAATTCATTAATTAAAGAATCTAGTTCGCATTTGTAAACAAAACAGCAGTCAAATAATGGTGTGGGTTTTTAAACAAAAAACCATGTCATCAAATGACTAAGTTATATGTTTTATGTGTCAACATTATGAGTATGTTTCTGCAGGGGGGTGCACACACCTGCTTCCCCTGTCTGGACCCGCTTTATGAAAATTAAAAGATCATACAAGGGTTACAATACAAATACACACGTTTGGCAGGGCTGTAAGAACAAAATGGATTTTACACACTAAAACATGATACAAAATATTTCTAAAAGAAACAAGAGTACCAGAAAATGGTCATGTCTAGAGAGGGACCTGCAGAAAGTGGAATCCACCTAAACTGGACTCATTTGGAACTAATGGTTTACTCTGGAATACACTGCTGTTCCTGTTGGCAAGCTTCAAGCAGGGACTGCATTCATGGGTCAATATTCACCACTCAACAGCGAGGAGTACCCTTATATGACATGAGTACATTACTCCGTTCACAAATTCATTGTGAGATGTGTGTTCAAGTTCTATTTTCAGGACCATCAATATCAGCACATAAATTGATGTACAAAACCAAATTGTGCCCATCAGATGTGCTGAAGAGGTAAACCAAAATATGTTGCTAAAGGGCTTTCAATGACTGAACAGATTGGTCTTTCTTGTTACATAAAGCATTAAAGTTAATTTGTTTGCAGCTTAGCACAACACTCAGTAATATAACAGCTCATGGTATTTGACGGCAACCTGTAAATAACTTTAGCCAGCTAACCCTGAGGTTGATATTATGAGCAAAGATGCATGCCGTCAAGATGACATGCAAATTGACCAAGTCACTGAGTCTGACCACCCGATCCATTAACTCGCCTCATACCACCGGCATAGACAAGACCTATACTAACCCAGAAATCATGAAGTAAATAGTGACCTTAAACTATAAAATTCAGCCAGTTTAGACAAGATTCTATATTGCACGAATTCCAAGTGATGGACTAATAATTTCAGTGTTTTTATTGATGATGAGACTACAACCTTGCACCTCCTGAAGAAATAAAATGATGTTTGAATGGAAATATTTCCTTAATGATACAAAAGATGATGCATATGTATATCATGTTGCCATGGCAACATTTCCATCTCTTCTTTTTCACCCTGGTGAGTTCCATAAATATGTTCATCACACAAATATCTTATTTGGCAGATTATCTCACATATTTCATCAGCTTCATTTACAACCAACACCTGCCACTGATCCGTGATACATATCCCCACTGTAATCTGGCCTTTGTAATGAGCATGTGCATCTTATTCTCTTATTTGGAATGAGCTCAGACAGGGCACTTGTAGTTGAAACTTCGTGATGGATCTGTGGGAAATATTTTCTGACACTGTGTCATCAGCCTCTTCAAACCCTGAAAACAAAGAAATAGTTTATAAATTTGAAAAAAAAAAAATAACAAAAAAATAACTACAATATATTGACATAGCTCTATCAAGAACCTTGCAATTCTATACCACGTGACGAAACAATACATTTCATTGAAGACCCCAAATCATGTGACTGACACTGGCCTCGAATAATAACTCGTCACATGATCAGTATTGACCTGTCATGTGATGAGTGTTGACTCGTCTGCTAGAAAACAAGATGGCTGCTGGTAACATTTTACTAATCATAAATAGGTTACTGAAAATGAAACAGGAGACAGTTTAAAGGTTTCATAGACCTAAAAGAGAATTTCAGCACAACAAACCAAATGATTGCTCTTGACAAGATCAATATGTGAAAACAGTTACCCTACGACCTGACCTTTTCGTTGGTCTGACTAGACCTCGGCCTGGTAAGGCTACCTCAGGGGTCAGGTCCTTGTGTCCTTGTCTCACATATTGACCTCCCTAAGAGCAATTACTTGTATAAAGTTCTACATGTTTAAAGCGCCGGGAAGTTGACCATTCTGATCATGATTTACAAACAATAGCTGATAACCCTCCGGTTATCTCCCAAAACCCCTACATCCCATTTCCCCTACAACCCAGTTCCCCTACAATTAGTTAAAACAACACGCGGCATTTACCTGTCTGGTATTATGAACTCACCTAAAGGGGAGATTAAGGTCTGGAGTAGAGGTAGTAGAAATGAAAGGGGTAGAGCTTTAGGGGACTAGCGGAAGGGTTTTTAAAAAAAATAATGTAAGTGTAATGATAGATGCCTATATGATGAGAAGACAATTTTAAAAAATTACAAAAATAACAATAGGAAGAAACAATTATTACACTGAGAAACTGAGATGAACGATTTACAGTTGAGATGGCTAGGTTTAGTATATAGATACTTGAATCTGACTAACATGACATCAACATGTCTGGGCTTCGCTATGTTGAGTTTGTTATGTCACAGAGAGGAAAGCTCCAAGTCCTTTTTGATGGTTATCTTCACACTAAGAACGTCGAGAGACTGACTTGCGTACACTGGTAGTGTGTCAAGTCCACATGTAGAGGAAGACTCACGACAGTAGGAACCGTGATAAGGAATGCTACAGAGGACACGTGGGTTGACGCAACGGACACAACACCAGATGTACCGAGAGCTGTCGCCTTCAACGACTACATCGTCACTACCTGGGTCGACCACGGAGCACGATTCCCCCTACCACTGTGGAACCATCACGGTACAACAGGTCCCAGGACGAACAACAACCTGGAAGGCTTTCATAACCGACTCAACCAAGTCTCCCTCACCGACATCCCAACATCTACCGATTTGTGGAGGTAGTCAGGAAGGTGGAACAGGCAGAACGAGCTAAGATTTTACAGCTCGACTTTGGAGCAGCTCTAAGAGGCAGGAAGAGAGTGTACAGAGAGGTGGAGAACCGTCTTGAATGGACGAGTTGAATAGAGAGGTGAAATCCCCAATGCAGTTTCTAGATGCGGTTGGCCATTTCCTCAGGCTGGGATAAAGAGTGAATTGAACATTTGAGATGAAATTTATTATAATGTATTATGAATTTTGAAAAATGAACATTTTGTTATAATGTATTATGAATTTTGAAAAATGAACATTTTGTTATAATGTATTATGAATTTTGAAAAATGAACATTTTATTATAATGTATTATGAATTTTGAAAAATGAACATTTTATTATAATGTATTATGAAATTTGAATAATATCGTAATCGTAATTTAATATTTATCTCAATCTATTCGTGTTTCTTGGGTTGTTCCATTGTATGAAATAGGTAATAGACTAGGGATTAGCAGTGCCATGGACCGTGAACTTTGTTGTCTTAAGCTGTAGGGGAAATGGGATGTAGGGGTTTTGGGAGGTTACCAACCCTCCAGCTCCCTAAGCTCTGCTCACTGTATTCCGTGAGAGGTTTCAGCTCCAATGACCACAGTGTGGTAGTAGGCTCATTAGCCATGAGCTCATTAAGCCAGGAAGCCCTTATTTCCGGGGAATACCCCTGCCTTGTTTCTTGCTTTATACAACAGAGGCAAGTATATTGTAATCTAATGAGAACTGAATCGTGCATGAACTAGAAGTGTAACGCAACACTCGGACATTGTTTCATACATTGCTTCATACACCAAGGACCATTGACGTCCTGGCCCCATAGGGCCTTGTATTTACAGATTCTTGTTCAAAACACAGGATCAGTAGTCAAAATAGATAAAACTGCAAAACAATATTTAAACAAGTGATATAGTTTGTGGTATAAAACAAATAGAATACATGACAACTATTGAAGCAAATAATTCCAGAACCAGTAAAGCAACGACCACAATTATTTTTACATACATACTCCTTGCTATACCATTAATGTTATGGGCCTTGAATTTGGACCCAAGCTTGTTACACTGTTATTTGTTGTTAGTTAAATCTGTAAAAATTACTGTCCTCATAATTTTACATATATTTATGAAATTTAGGGTCAGTGGGTCCGTAAACCAAGTCATAAAAATGCAAATGCCAAAGATTTATTATTTCCGTTCCATCCAGATTCAATTTTCAATCTGTCACATTGTCCTCATCAGTTAAGTAGATGAATTTTGTATAAACAAGTATCTGTGGAACATTATTTTTCTTGAGGCTGGCTGTAACCGTTCCTGTCCACATGGTCAGAGTCACATGAGTTACCTCCCTTGAAACAGTGCAAAATAACATCTGTCCAGTAACAATGATCATAATGAGTTTTCCTTGGTCTTAGCTATTATAACCATGTCCTACTCAGTTATTGATCTGCTTGATTAGATATAAGCATCTGTTCCCAAAAATTGCATTAAAAGTATAAAGAAGTTGAAATACAAAAGATACCCATCGTCACAGTTGCAATATCCCACTTAAAGACAAATCAATAATTACAGTTGCTTAAGTTTGCTTAAAAGAAATATCCTACCTGTATATATTTCCTCTGTGTTTCATCATTCAGCACATGGGCCACGTATCTTGAAGAGATTTTCTCTCGACCAGTACGAGCGTGGATTCCGACCATGGTGACTCCGATAGGCCAAGGTGCATTTCCTATTGCCATCTCTAGGTACGAGTCATTGGCCTGCAGGGGAAGAAGAGAGTGAGTTAGATTCAACAGTACTTCATATATATCACACACCTGCTCCAATGTTATTTTATTATTTCATTGGGCTAGTTATTTCAGACAGGACAATTAAGAGAGTAAATGTGATGAAAATATTTGACTCTTTCTTGAAGAAAACAAGAAGAAAAAAAAGAGATCCACTGATTTCAACAGCTGATGGTAAATAAGCTGCACCTGGTTACCTCCCTTGAACGCACGCAAACGGCTTCCCTACTAATTCCAACACATTTCTTCTGCTTTTGATCTTTTTTTGCCAAAGTGTGCCATGGAAATTGGAGAAAATAGTCTAAAAAACATGTTGTGTTCATGGTGCTCAAGATCCTGAACTGTTTATGAGTCTTCATGCCCTGTACTTGTGGATCACTGGTCACTGCTCGGGGTAGCCTAGTGGTTAAAGCCTACACTTGTCACGCTGAGACCCGGGTTCGATTCCCAACATGGGTACATTGTGTGAAGCTCATTTCTGGTGTCCCCTGCAGTGATATTGCTGGAATATTGCTAAAAGCCACATCAAACCAAACTAACTCCTATGACAAGCAAAAGGTCCTGGGAACCTATTCAGGATCTCAACAGGGTTTAAGAGGAGGGAGAAAGATTTGATGCCACTATAGTTAGAAACAATAATAATAGAGGCATTCGAAAGTAACTCTAGTCCACAAGCCCAAGACTAATAAGGACAAGTAAACAAGTAAACATCTAATGATGGTTGTCCTCACTTACTTGTAGCACTTTGGGGCTATAATTCTGAAACAGTTCTCAATGCTTAAATTTGGCTAAGAAACGAGGACTACCGCCATTTTCAGTCTTAATCAAAGTCGTTCCCATGGACACTCGAATTATTATTTTTTGATATCCCAAACTATCAAAAGGCACCAGTTCACCACTAGACCTATCTATGTGCCAAGTTTGGTGAAGAAATATGATACGGTTTTCAAGATCTGCTCCGGAAATGAAATGGGACGGACAGACGGATGGAAGGACGGACAGACAGCACCCATTCCTATATCCCCCTTCCACTTCGTGGCGGGGGATAATAAAACTGACAGAAAATGTAAACATTGTAAACATTTTCCTCTCATTCAAGCAGGACAAGCTGTAAACTCTAAGGACTAGTGAACGTCTTCAAAAAAAAGTTTCAAGCAGCAACCTGAGGTTCTCTCACCACATACAAACATTACTCTTACCCCGAGATAATCTTTGTCCATCAGCCTCTGTACAATCAGCACCATGCTGTCCATGATATCCTCATCTACATTCTGGCAAAAACAAAAATACACATATCAACATTATGCTGAACAGCACATTACCATTGCATGAACATTAGATCCATCGACATGTTATAGTCATTGAGTGAGTATATGTTGTTTCATGCATTCAAATTCCTTGTATTAGAGTGCCAATGTCATGGCTAAAATAAGTTCCTGGGTACTGACAGACACACCTAGAAATTCTTTTGATGAGGTATATTATACGAAGCCAAAGTACATTATACAAAGCAACATATAATTATACAAAGCCAAAGTATATTATATGAAGCAAAAATATATTATACAAAGCCAACTTATATTTACGCGAAGCAAAAATATATATTACAATGCCAACATATAATTATGCGAAGCCAAAGTATTTTATACGAAGCCAACATATATTATACAAAGCCAACATATAATTATATGAAGCCAATGTATATTATACATAGCCAAAGTACATTACACAAAGCCAACATATGATCATACAAAGCCAATGTATATTATACAAAGCCAAGGTATATTATACAAAGCTAGTCATAAATGTTCTTGGCAAAAGTAATCTGAATAAATAGAAAAACACGCTCAGTGCACAGTATGCACAGTTTGACGATGGATCAAAAGTGTTCTTGTTGGCACATCTAAATTCCAAAGAGAACAAGAGTTTGCCACTAATGTGGCTATATCCCCCGCCCCTGTTGCAGAATGTATGACATAATTAAATCAAAACCTTAACCCTAACCTTTTTTAACCGAGGTGGAACTTCTCATGGAAATTGTAAAAAAAAGAAGAGTTTGGAACCTAAGTCCATCTTGTTGCCATGGAAACGTAAAAAATAAAAATTTCTAAAATTTCTTAATAGCAAAAGGCACCAGTTTAGCATGTACCTGACAGACATGCAAAGTTTCATGAAAAAATATTGAACGGTTTATGAGTTATGCGCCGGAAACGAACCCTACCCTCTCAGAACCTTAGTCCATCTTGTTGCCATGGAAACGTAAAAAATAAAAATTTCGAAAATTTCGAAATAACAAAAGGCTCCAATCCAGCATGTACTTGACAGACCTGCAAAGTTTCATGAAAAAATATTGAACAATTTCTGAATTATGCTCCGGAAACGAAATGTGATAGACGGACGGAAGTATGGACGGACGGAAGAAAAGACGGATGGACGGAGCCCGTTTCTATATCCCCCGCCAACGTTGTTGGTCGGGGGATAATAAACTATATTTCTTTCACAGCTATTTCAATGTGCCCTGTAAAACAATACAAATCAGCGGCTAGTTACATGTGAAGTTATCCACCCAATCAATGTTACACACTGGAACTTTGGTTACCACAAGACCACATCACACAAGATGTTCTAAGTTTATTGTCATAAGTCAGCTTTAAGTATTGGCATTATGATGGCCTTAGCGCTAAGATCATGATGACTTTGTGGGCCAAGACCCTGGATCAGCAATGTCGCACACTGGTACCTTGGTCATCACAAGTCCCTCAGATATTCTTAGTTAATTGTAATGAGACAGCTTTAAGTTTTAGCATTATGATGACCTTAGCGCTAAGATGCAGTGTTAGAAATTGGCACTAGTCCTATAGTCCTTGCCAAACTGCCCAATAGTTAAGGTATCATAAGGCCTTGTAGAAATTTCCCTTTTTTAAGTGTTTTGCAATATGTTATCAGTATAAGGCCTAGCAGACTAAAACTGTTAGTTTCTACCGCTAAGATGGCTATGTGGAATGGGATGCTGGATCAACAAAGTTGCACATTGGTACGAGGGGTGTTCTTTAAAGATTTCCCCTAAACCACTTAGGGTTATCATATTTGGTTGAAATTTCACATGTGTAATGATACATGTATCTATGGTTATGTCTGAATTTGCAGCACCGAACTGTTAATCTTACCACTTTTACAGGTGTTATGATCGAGTAGGGTGTGACAATGGAGCCAGTAGAATACCGAGCAGTGATTAGGTTTTTATATTTGAAAGGTCGCACACCAAAAGAAACTTTCGATGAAATGAAAGCAACTGATGGGGAAGATGCCCCATCATATGACGTTGTTAAACACTGGCATCGCCAGTTCAAGTGTGGTCGGACATCTGTGGAAACAGCTGCCATTCCTGGTCGCCCCCATTCAGCCACTGATGAGGACACTAACCATCAAGTGGAGACCGCCATTTTGGCAGACCGACGTAAAACTGTTCGCCAGTTAGCACAAGATCAGTGTAGGGTCTGTGGAAAAAATCATCCACGACAATTTGAACATGCATAAGGTGTCTGCACGATGGATTCCCAGGTTGCTAAAACCTTTCCAAAAGCAGGAACGAGTCAATTGCTCAAAGGATCTTTTGGACATGTGCCAAAAAAACCAGGCAAACTTTTTTGACAGACTTATCACACAGGATGAAACATGGGTCCATCACTATGATCCTGAGACTAAAGTTTAGTCGATGCAATGGAAGCATGTGGAGTCACCACCCCCAAAGAAGGCACGTGTCCAACCCTCTGCAGGCAAGGTCATGCTCACGATGTTTTGGGACCAGCACGGGGTAGTGATGAGTAGTACACAACTCTCATGTTGCCCAGACAGAAGCGCGGTCCTGTGGCTATGAAATCCTTCCACATCCTTCTTACTCTCCTGACCTTGCACCATCTGACTTCCACCTCTTTCCAACCATGAAGTCATTTTTGAAGGGAAAACGTTTCACAGATGATGATGAAACACTGTTTTCTGAAGTCAAGTGCTGGTTTGAGACGCAAAATGACGGCTTTTACAAGCGAGGTCTCCATAGTTGCATAAAACGATGGGAGAAGTGTGTAACTCTTGGTGGTTCCTATGTGGAGAAAGACATATACCTATGCCAAGTTTCATTCCACTGGGTCCATCGGAAGTGGGTCAGGGGAAATCTTCAATGAACACCCCTCGTACCTTGGTCATCAACAGCCCCCTTAGTTGTTCTTAGTTGACTGTCATAAGTCAGTGTTTAAGTACTCAAGATACGACTACCTTAGCACTTACCATTGGCGCTAATGAACATGGGAATGTTCCTCACAGACCAAGGGGCAGAGTGTCACCCTAGGAAATAGCTCTGCCCCCTTAAGACTGGGCTTAATGGAGTATTTTACAGCTCATTCATACACAAGAGCAGGGGAGGTCGAGTAGCCTAGCCTATTTATTGTCATGACAAATCTGGATTTCAAACCCCATGATTACAGGATTCTGGCTTGACTAAGGGAAGCAACTCTGTGGTTGGTTTGGTAGGCCACGCTCAGCAATATTCCAGCCAAATGAGGCAGTCTGTAAATAATCGAGTCTGGACCAGACAATCCAGTGATTGATATCATGAGCATCGATCCTCACAATGTGAGATCGATGACATGCATCAACCAAGTCAGCAAGCCTGATCACCCGATCCCGTTAGTCGCCTTTTACAACAAACATAGTTGCGTTTTACGGCAAGTATGGGTTGCTGAAAATCTATTCTAACCCGGATCTTCACGGGTCAGCAACTCTGTGGAGCTAAATGGAGTAGTGAATGGGCCATGGGTGCACTCTTTTCGGACAGTATGTGTGTGTGTTTGGCAAAAGATAACATGCATCATTTTTCAGACTTCAAAAGAGAGGTTTCAGACAACCGTGTATGTGTGTGTGATAAACCAAATATTACTTACTTTATTTTTCAGTTTCCTAAAGAGAGGTTTGAGATATCCGACAGTCTGGGTGTGCTGGGCACTGTCCAGCTTCCCTCTGTTTATCCGTTTATCGTCCTCCGGCCGGTTGTTCAACATGCTGCCCCACATCTTCATGATGTACTGGAACAGTTGTAACCATGGCAACACATGACTCACTTAGAACAGACACGATCTCCTGATGTGCATAAATCTTTCATCTGAAACTTCTTCGTCTTTAAGATATTTTTGTAAATGACATTAGAAATAGCAGTAAATATTTTATTTACACTCATTCAAAATATTCAAGAACTTTGTCAGTATGAAACGGGTAGTTACTTCAACATTGCACACTGCTACATAATTTACTGATCAATATGTCTATCAGTGGTAGAGATTACTTACTTACATATAGAGCAAAACAGAAATGTACCCCAAGTACCCCTCTGTATACAAAACGTAATCTAGCTGCAAAATGCATAGCATTTGAGTCACAGGACAAGCATTTTCGACTGTGTGCGAAACCAGTTACTGTATACAGGAAGGATTGATTTGACTGTTGAGGTTTTAAGATCTGAATTCTAATGCTCGAGTCAATAGTTTTGATAAGTTCGCTAATTCTGTCTTTATGTTACAAGTGAAACTGAAAACAGTTTTGCACGTCATTGAATGGTCTCATCCAGCTGCTCGAATGCAGTTTTTTATTTGTTTGTTGTTTAACGCCAAACTCAGCAATATTCCAGCTGTATGACAGTGGTCTGTAAATAATCAGACCAGACAATACAGTGAGTGACATCACGAGCATCGATCCACGCAATTGGGATCGATGACATGCATCAACCAAGTCAGCGAGCCTGACCACCTGATCTTGTTAGTTGCCTCTTACGACAAGCATAGTCGCCTTTTATGGCAAACATGGGTTGCTTAAGACCTATTCTATCCCGATTCTTCATGCAGCGGTCTGCTAAAGTACATTCCTAAATTTATTTTCAGCAAGTGAACAGCTTTGCATACAGAAATAGTGAAGGTACACTGGTCACGTTTCTGCGGAAACACACATATCAATGACCCCTTGGGGTCATGCTCCAACGTGTTGTGTCAACACTGTTGCTTCATACCTTGAAAAACCTCAACATAATCAGCTGGTCGTTGTCCTTATCGCCCTTTCCAAGCTCCTCGCGCATTTTCTGGAGAAACAGTTCAGGAAGAACATCAGTATTGTTCAGTAGCCTATGCCTCAAAGTTGTGACTAATGGAGTCGACAATGTGACTTAAATTTCATTTTGTCTACTCTAAAACATTCAGAGGTCGCCAAATGACTACCTTGAAAAATCAAGTTGTGGCAACTGAATTTAACTACTACACATCAGTAGACAAAAATTATCAACTTCATTGAGATTTGCTATGCCGTTTTCTCAATCGATAGTTTTCTGATTGCAATGGAACTCCTATAAGCGCACTTATTGTCTGTGTTAATGAACATTTCGAAAGATCAATGCAGTGGTGCACGGATTAGGTTACATAAAAATAATTTACTGTGTGCAGTGTCTCAAGTTTACGAACTTCTGACATAAGAAGACCGTCCCGCCTTACTTAAACAAATCATGCGGAATTACTTTTTCCATTTTCAACTAAAAATAGACAATTTCAGAAGTTTTTGGTTGACTTTTTTTTTACGGATCTATAACAGATATCTCATTGGACGAACCCTACCACAGGATCCTTTCACTGATCTACAACAGATATCTCATTGGATTAACCCTAGCACAGGATCCTTTCACTGATCTATAACAGATATCTCATTGGATTAACCCAACCACAGGATCCTTTCACTGATCTATAACAGATATCTCATTGCACTAACCCAACCACAGGATCCTCTCACTGATCTATAACAGATATCTCATTGGATTAACCCAACCACAGGATCCTCTCACTGATCTATAACAGATATCTCATTGAACTAACCCTACCACAGGATCCTCTCACTGATCTATAACAGATATCTCATTGGATTAACCCAACCACAGGATCCTCTCACTGATCTATAACAGATATCTCATTGAACTAACCCTACCACAGGATCCTTTCACTGATCTAAAACAGATATCTCATTGCACTAACCGAACCACAGGACCCATGTATGGATCTTTAACCATGATAACAGATATCTCACTGGTATGTCTTCATCAGTAGTTCCGTCGTCTTTGATAAACACATCATTAGAACACGGGGATCCATCTGATGACTTGATGATCTCATTTAGGTATGCTTGGTCCACTTGATCCATAGCTGCCTTAAAGTCATTGTCAAATCCTTGACCCTACAACACAAGACGATGGTTAGTAACATGATTAACTCCTTGAGAAATAAACACCAACATTCACAGATTCTGAGGGAATCCAATGCTACAATAAGCATGGGTGATCAAATGGTGATCATGATTACATGAATACCACAGTCTTAATTTAAATTATACCCTTTTCAAACCCTGATTAACTTGAGTACCGTCAAGTCTTGTTAATCCGACACTTGTTAATCCGACAATCGGCTTTATCCGACACGAATGATAGGAACCGATTAAATCAGTACTATTTAGGCCCGTTAATCCGACAGTCTCGCACTCCCGCTCCGACACACCCAATTTGCAACAAATTACCGAAATCACTCATTAATCAGTCTCGTTAATCCAACACAGTGAGCAGCGTACTCCATGGTCATCTGCCCGCGAGTACACAGCCTTTGTTTTGATGCGAGACAAGTTGGCTGCTAGCTGCATATTACAACGGCTGTAGAGATAAATTGCTTAACAATTAATGCTTTAAATAAAGAAAACAGGATTAATCACATGCTTAGATTATCTCAATCTCATTAAGATCAGATACAATTTCTCACTACTGCTAAAGGACATCCCATTACAGGTCATGTCAGAACAACCTTTCGCAAACTTTGACTGACCAATGAAATGACTTACAGGAAGTCAATATTAGCCACTAAGAAAGCAGCTTTCTTAAGCTGTGCTGTACCGACTTCTATTTTAGACTATGCTCTTTAAAGTATTTTGAATAAGTCATATAGTCTGTAACAGTTGTTTTGTGTTGAGTTTTAGAGATTGCATGATTAGAAACATATTCCGCTAACAATGCAACATAACAATATGAATATTTCCTTTTTTCATTTTTTTATTACGTGTTTGTATCATTATCTATCATGCAGTTGTCCGATTTTCGATCACGAACATTGATACTACTTAATTTTGTTTATCCGACAAACTCGTTAATCCGACATAATCATATGCAACCAACATTGTCGTATTAACAGACTTGACTGTATGTGTATCAAAATTACACATTATATTGTTCACAAAAAGAATTTTCAATTTTCAATTGCACCTTTCTGATGTCTGGTTCCTGTGTTTCCAACTTCTTGAGACGGATGTAAGCCTCGAGGTCTGACTCTCCAAACAGTCGAATAGGTTCACTTCTCTCCCGCAGCCGGCGGATCGTCTGGAAGAGACATGGTCATACAGGTGACATGGTGTCATCAGCTTGTCACACAATTACTACAGGGTCACACGGTGTCATCAGCTTGTCACACAATTACTACAGGGTCATGTGGTGTCATCAGCTTGTCACACAATTACTACAGGGTCATGTGGTGTCATCAGCTTGTCACACAATTACTACATGGTCATGTGGTGTCATCAGCTTGTCACACAATTACTACATGGTCATGTGGTGTCATCAGCTTGTCACACAATTACTACAGGGTCATGTGGTGTCATCAGCTTGTCACACAATTACTACATGGTCATGTGGTGTCATCAGCTTGTCACACAATTACTACAGGGTCACACGGTGTCATCAGCTTGTCACACAATTACTACAGGGTCATGTGGTGTCATCAGCTTGTCACACAATTACTACAGGGTCATGTGGTGTCATCAGCTTGTCACACAATTACTACATGGTCATGTGGTGTCATCAGCTTGTCACACAATTACTACAGGGTCACACGGTGTCATCAGCTTGTCACACAATTACTACAGGATCATGTGGTGTCATCAGCTTGACACACAATTACTACATGGTCATGTGGTGTCATCAGCTTGTCACACAATTACTACAGAGTCACACTGTGTCATCAGCTTGTCACACAATTACTACAGGGTCACACTGTGTCATCAGCTTGTCACACAATTACTACAGGGTCACATAGTATTTGGTACCCTTGGTATATCATGGAGACAACTCAGTTGCTACATCATCAGAAGCGGATCCAGGATACGTGAAAGGATGGGTTCACTTGTCATTATACGTAACATTATGAGTAGTCTAGGTTTGATTTGTTTTTTTGGGGTCCATATTATGTTTTTTTCAAACATCCTGCACCCTCCCACCCTGGATCTGCCCTGTTCATGCCCAAATCTCTTGATAATTACACTTATTTATAGAGGATAGTGTGTTTGGTCGTAAAGCAGAAGGGATGTTGTTTGCACTCTGGGTAGCCTCATGCCAAAAGATATCAGAAGACTTATTAACCTGTCTGATGCTCATCATTACGGGCATAAAAGACAGTATACTATGTTCAAGCGGTGTATCTATGTTAAAACTGCAGCATGGTATCTCATTGAGCTAGCACTATATAGCCGGCATAAGTCCAGACTTAAATAAACAGCCATATAAGCTTGATTAGAGAAAAAATCTTGAACGCGATGTCAAACTCCATTTCATCTCACCCTACCTCAACATGCTTGCCATAAAAGGTGACTATGCTTGTCGTAAGAGGCGACTAACGGGTTCGGTCATTCATTTTATGAGCGGAAGATGAATCATAAAGCTGATTTTCATATCATCTTGAATTTGACTTCTTTCAAAATTGTGTTGTATTGTAACAAGTCTAAATATGGCTTCGCTACCACGACAGGACAATAGGAGCCAGTTGTCATCTAAGGAAACAATCCACCTTTGATCCCACTACAGTGATGTACAGTGTGAGCAATAGATTCACATAGAAGATGTCATGAAAGGTTACTGAAGGGTAGAGATTTGATATTAGAAAGTACTCATATCCTTATTCTTTATCAACAAATTATCATCGAGATATGTATTGTATTTAGAAACCATTGAGCCACAAGGCTCTGTAGCTCATCTGAATTATGAAGAAAAAACATTTGTTTGTTTGTGTGTAACGCTGCTCTCAACAATGTTCCAGCTTTATGATGGCGGCCTGTAAATAATTGATTCTGGACCAGACAATCCAGTAATTGAGTATGTTGACACACTTTCAACAAAGTAACTGAGCCTGACCACCCGATCCATTTGGTGCCTCTTAAAACCACACCAGGTTGCTGGGGACCTATTCTAACTGAAGTCCCAGGGAGAAGAAATGGTAGCCATGTTCAAAGTCAGACAGGAATTCTGTTTGCCAATTTAGAGACACCATAGAGTGGATCATTCATTCACAAATTCAGATTCAGGTGAGCTAAAAACTGTATCATTTATATGCTCCATATGGTCGACAAGCTGAAAGATACAGATAAAAACTGTGGGTAGTAAAAGACATTCAGTTAAACACTGCAGCATGGAAACCATTCTCACTTCTTTCCTGGGTAGTTGATCATACTTCTTGTCTTCCTTCTTTTCCAGCTTCTGATCTGCTGATTCTTGACTCTTCTGTGCCTGAAAAACAACATTATCAATATTATTCTGATCAATCTGATAAACTTTATATTTAATACTTAACCTGCATCACATATTGCATTCCCTTCTGTGTGTTTGAAAACATGACTGGAAACGTCATCCCTTGAGAAAAGAACTTGTTCTTGAACGCAGTTGAAACTGCTTGCCCGAATACATCCTGCACTCACAGCAACAGTCAACATACATGTCAATCTTCTTGTTTTCACCGAAGAGTAAACATTGTCTGTGAACGTTATCCTTTGCTTGTTGTGCAGATTAAACCTTTGTTTCCTTTCAGTACAGATTGGTTTTGTTTATTCACTTGGGTATTCTGACATACATACATCTGTTCCATTTATCATGTTTATGTGCTTTGTTGTCTAATAAACTGTGTGTTTGTAGCACATGCTGTGTTTCCCACCATTTTTTAACTTGCTTCGTTCTAGATGCTGTCTTTACATACACTTTGTTGTGTATTGTGTACAGTTTAACATTTTTTCATGTTATTGTGATTCTTACTTTCTGCATTTTTTTATTGCTATCTATAGATAACATGCCTCGCTGTCATGGGTGCCTGAAACCTAAGTCGGCTAAGGACCCACACGGGTTCTGCCCTGGTTGTAAACCCCTGTGTATGCTGTTATCCAGCATACCCCTACCTATATCTACCTTTGTTGATTATGTGTTTCAGAAGACATTAGTAATGCCGTTCCAAGATGGCAGATTCTTCTCCATCGTGGACCTCCCCTCCTGCATCATTGAGCGCTGTTGCTATGGTTGCCAGAGTGCTGCAAGCTCCGCTGACCTCGGGACTCCTCCCTCCAGAGATGCTACAGACTATCACCTCCCAGCAATCTCATTAAAATCAGATCTTAGTTCTCGCTACCGCTTCACAAAGATCCGAGGACATCCATTACGGGTCACGTCAGACTGACCTTGCGCAAACCGATGGAATGACAATCAGAAGGCAGCTTTCTCGTGCTTTACGGCACTGATTTCAAATTGGCGACTACGCTTTGCAACATATTTTGAAAAATTCTCCCCATTACAAATTTGAAACCTAAACAAAAGAACATACTGGAATGGCTAATAGATGGTCTAGATTGTATGGATTCAGTCGTTAAACCTGTAACTATCGTTCGGAATACCCCGTGTTGAAGTTTTCGAGGTTGTATGATTAGAAATCACATTCCGACTGTCACTTTCATGATCTGGTAAGCGACGCTCTGATTGGTCGAATGAAAGATCGTTCTGACGTGACCCCTAATGGGATGTCTTCAGATTTTTGTTTAGTGGTAGCGAGAACTAAGGTATGATTTCAATGAGATTGATCTCCCAGGTGCTGGCTCAGGTGATGTCTGCCCATGTCTCTTCCCACCAGGCTCCTTCTGACAGAAAAGCCGTTCTGCAGTTCATCAGAAGCATCTTGCGCCTGCCTCACTGGAAAGTCAACAAGCGCCTGAAACTCTGAATAGGCGCTCTGTTACTGAGACGCCCGAATGGAACTCCCCACCTTTTTCTCCAGATATACCACATTTGACACCCGGTCATCACGACGCATCATCTTGATGCATGTCAGATGCTTGAATCACGACTGGCGCTTGTAGCGCAACAGGCGCTCGGAGCAGCATAGGCGTTTGGAGTTGGACAAGCCTTACCCAACTGAGTGGCGCTCTGTGTCTGAGAGGCGCCCAGTGCATCTCCATCCTCCTTTGCCTGACAGGTCGTATGAGGCTGTATGTGATGCTCGACCTATGACTTCATCCATCAGGTCTTCCGACCCTCATTGTTCTCCTTCCTCGGACCAGTACTTCTACGAGGATCTAAAATCTGGATGACTCTCACATCAGAGTGGCTGGCTGAGAGTCTTGCTGTTGCATCCCCTGGGCCTGAGGTCGACCCCCAGAAGGCGCTATCTGTAGAGCATGGATTATCCCTACCAATGGACCGGTATATACGTGATATGTCTCAAGTGCTAGATAGCGACATCACTTCCTGGGGTCACACACGTTTTAGAAACCACAGCACTTCAAGGAAGGTTCCCCTCCTGTCCATGGCATGGATAATGCCACCCATGCATCACCCCCCAATGAAGACATTCATGGCTTGACAGGATCGCCAAAACCGGCTTCTTAAGGTGCAGGATTTGCAGATTATGGTGATTGATACAGAGATACATAGAGCTGTCTTTCTGTTTCGGCGTTGGCTTCATCCAATGTCCTGCTACCTTACTGCAGAGGCAGAGGATGTCTGCATAACCTGGGGTGCCAAATTTACCATGTGCCGGTTGAGGCAGCTGTGGAGGACGCATACCTTATCTAAAGGACAAGTCACAACCCATCTCCAAAGCGGTCACAACTTTGTCACAATCTCAGACTACTCTACAAACATTAAAGGGGATGGTCAACACATGGCTAAATATCCCGGGGATTTCCTGATCAGCATAAATCTTCAAGATACCTTCTTCATATGCCCATCCACCCTTGCAACAAGAGATATCTTCATTTTTATCACTGGGGACATTATCTCCAATGGGCAGTACTCCCATTTGGATATTCCATGGCTGTTTTCGTGGTTATTTATGAAGATCACAAAATTGATTGTCAGTTTCATTTCACATTCGGGGCACCAACTCTGATGCCTACATTGACGATTGACCTGCTGTACCACCCAGACAATCGCATCCTCCTGTGTCATCAGAACTTCATTCAGATGTTACTACTGCATCTGGGGTGGCTAATGAACCAAATGAAGTCAGATCTCATTCTGGCTCGTCCAAATACGTTCATAAGGGGCCTCTTTTTCACATACTTTGGTCACTGCAAGGTACCCCCAGACTTCTGGCTCAAGATGCAGTCGCTAATTCCACCTACGTGACTGGCAAGTTCATCTGGGGCTCCTGACATCGACCCAAAAGCTAATTGTCAGAGAGAGACTCCAGTTACGGCAGCTGTAGCTGAGGCTAAACTACAGCTATCTGTTTGACCTCTTGGCATATCGTGACCAGTGTCTCCAGTGGTGGCTGATCCCATCAAACGTCTTGAGCTGACTCTTTGCAAGGTTTCGTAGCAACTCATCATTTATTTGTCGATGCATCCCTTCAAGGGTGGGGCGCGAATCTTCATGCCTACTGCCTACAGTCAAACCAAAAACGTGGCACATCAACAACCTGGAAACAGAGGCTGTTTACTGGTAATTCAACACTGGAGGCATTTCCTGCGTCACGACGAAGTGCTGATTGCCACTGACAGCTCGACAGTTGTGCGGTACATCCGGAAGCAGGGTTCTGCTCATTTGGGCACACTGCTGGCCCAGATCTTTCACCTGTTCCACTTCATCGACTCATCACCATGGAGGTCAGGGTCAGGCACATGCCAGGGTGCAGGAACGTTCCAGCAAATGCCTCATCAAGGCCAGACAAGCCTTCCCCAATGGAGTGGATGCTACACTGGGACCCCTTCCACTTTCTCTGTCACCTGTTTGCAAGGAACCTCAACCTTCCAGCTTCCGAGGGGACACATTCATGATACGTCTAACCAACGTATTCCACCTGGGAAGTATGGTCATTTTAACCTCTATTTAGCGCTCAGCTGTACTGATGTTATTTGATCATAATACGACTCATGTGATTTACTTAAGGTAAGATCCTTGAAGAGTACACCCAGCACTTGTGGGTCCTGCACCAGTCTCCACCTGCGGGTTGCTGTAGCTGTTGGTGTGCAAGGAATCTCACCTGATACTTTTACTGTTACTACACCTACCCACACTCAAGGTTTAGAGGACATTCACTGAAGGTATGCTCTCCCTGTCTCGTCAGATAAAATGCAATGTGTAATGAAGGATTAAGTAAAAGTTATCAATGTCTTATATATTTAATACTTTTCCTGCAATTCATCGCGAACGGGACCACCAAGTCTGGCGCATCCTCCCCACTCGTATCTTCAGTAGACATTGCTGTTTTCTCAACAAGAAGCGTGACATGGATGTTGACTGGTGTGGTGAGGGCAGGATGTATTTGGGTGAACAGTTTCAACTGTGTTCAGGAACAAGTTCTTTTCTAAAGGGATCACGTTTTCAAACAAACAGAAGGGAATGCAATTTGTTAGCAGGATAAAGTAAAAATAATGTATTTGGATAAACATGTGAACCAGTACTCACTCTTACTTTTTTTGTTTCATTCTCACAGTTTATACTATTATAACTTTTGTCTTGCAGGGTCACCTATCATACAGTGATGCACACAATTACAATCAGCTTTTCGTACAAGGACAATCAAAAACATGAAAATATTAACATTATAGCCTCTATGGCACCTGCATTATTGGAGATGGAAACATACGCTCCCGACCCCCAGCATCCCCGGTGTGTTCTGCAGCTTGCCCTCCCTACCTTTTCTTCATCTTCAACCTGAGCCTTGTTTCTCTTCCAGTACTCAGCTGTCTGCTGGGCAGCTAGGTCCCCTCGCTTGAAATACTTCTTGTTGGGGGCCTGAAACATAGGAGTACCTATTATCACTAGGATCACTGGTGATGTCATTGATTGGAAAATTCAGTACTGACAATATCAAACATGTGAAAAGAAACATATTACAATTTATGATGTTTATTGATCATGTTCATCATTGTTGATTTATCAAATAATCGATGAAGGATAACATAAAGTCTCAATTATTAAAAGGACAGTATGTTGACCGCTCTGTGTCTGTTAAAATCATGCATGAAATAATTTCCGAGTGTGATGTCAGTAGTATAGACAATACACCTATTTCAACAGCACTGGCTGATTGTAAGATATCCGAGGAGGAGTTTCGATTAGTGTTGTCAGAACTAACCAAATACAACTCAATGAAGCAGGAGATTCGATCCAATTCTCATAAGACCAGTGGTATTAGCGAAGACGAGAAAAAAAAAGTTCATAGAACAGGGGAGACAACGAGCGCGTCAATTATTCCGTGCAAAAACCAAAGAACTGGTTTGAGATTAAAAATAGATTGTTTTCTGTCGTTGGATCACATTTAAACGAATGCTTACATTAGTAAAAATGTTGAATATCACTTTGTTCAAAATAATGGTATGTGTATGAGAAATAATAGAGAATATTATCATTACAATTTAGTTTAGACTCATGACGATCCTTGAATCACATCATCATTTTCGCATAAAAAATTCCCTCTGTAGTAGCAGTTTAGGTGTATAAATCTGGCTCCAGAGGGGTTGCAGCAGAACCATCATTGTCTATACTACTGATGTCACATGCTGGATTCAATTCTCAACCAAAACAATAGAGAAGCACAGATAAGCCAAGCCTCAGAGTTTGGACTTTTATCGACTTGTGTAGATATATTTGATATCAAAAGACACTGGGGTGAGATTCTCAAAAAGAACAGATCTTAAATTAGTTAAAAACCAGTGGTTGAAAGAAAGGGCAACGTTGCAGGTTGCTTATTCTATTAACTACATTTATAGACAGGGTTTAGAGGGTGCCAACACTGTCTACGGCTAGTAAATGTGGCTCAATCAGCTCTTATCTCCTGCACTGATTGCTGTGAGGTTATAGTCACGATACACTTTGACTTGTTTTCCGTATTTGTTACAATATTCTGTGGCATAATTCGTATCAAAATAGTCCTATAAATTGTGACATAAAAAAAAGAATAATGAGGTGGGGAAATTATCTTCTTATCCCAGTTTTAAAGACGGTTTCATTTTCACTTACAAATACATTACTGTTCTCGATTTGTCGCTTTTTTCTCTCAATTTCAGCTTTCAAGAATTCCATTGCTATTACCGTAAACAAATCTATCCATATGACATTTATGAAACCAACCCTGATTGGTTCAACGGGTCAAATATCAACCAATCACCGGTTGTTTAATACAATCTTTAAGGAAGTGTAGCAAAGAGAGTGCCCGGATTATCAATCAGCTTATGTTCCAGAACCGAGTATTGTGTATCCTGTGTTTATTTGTGTGCTGTCGCTGATGTTGGTCAAGGAAACAGTGTATATACTTTGTATTTTCGTACTTGTATCACTCCTCAAGCAATGTCTATCACTCGACGTAACTGTCAGTACCTGCAACTTGTGGAACTTTATGTTCAACTGGGATATAAGAAAACATCGTATCGCAGAACTGGTAATGCAATTCAACCTTATTACCCACCCATCATCGTATAAATATGTGAATTCATCCTAGTACATTAATACTGGTCATGGCCCCCTGGTCATATCTATTTTCAAGCCAGTACATCACACATGAGATGCAGCCAGTGCCAGTGAAGGGTCTCGGCTAATACACAGGACCTGATACAAGCCAGAGCCGCGATGACGTGCGACAGTGTAGACATGACCCTACGTCACGCAATCAAAACTAGTTTAATGCACCTGCGTGGCCATGTTTGGATTATTTACGAGTTGGGCCAAAGCAGAAGCGTGTTATTATTAAGTATTTAAATATTAAGCAACCCCAAACAAGTTACGGCTACTCAAGTTCGCCAGTAAAATTGCGCGTTAACACACAAATGTATAAACAACAAAGATTTAATAACTTTACAGTATTTTGATAGACCAAAGCAAACATCAATCCCTCTCCCCTTGTGCAATGATGTCATATGCATGGTTCAGAGCAGTAATGCAACACAAGCCCCGCCCATTCTATTATCAGCCAAATAGTTTCAAAGTGGGCGTGGCCTAACCTATTTTCGGTTTATAGAAACATAAACGCAAAAACATATTGCTTGCAGTTTAATTATTACGATTGTGCTGGAATTGGCGGTGTTTTTTATCACTTTTTGAAGTGATTATCAAAGTCCATCAAATATAACGGTAACGCTATTTTTCAGGGTATTTTCATTCGCAGAAGCGCGAGGTCTTCCATTAACTACCCGACGAAGGAGGGCAGTTGAAAAGACCGAGGGCTTCTGCAAATGATAATGCCTTGAAAAATAGCATTACCATTATTATAGCTAAAATAGTTAGAATTTGTTATCAAATAAAAATAAACAATATCGGTTTTGAAACATTTAGTGCAATCAACACGAATTTCACTGACCCACTTTTACAAATATGGAAAGGTCATAGAACAAACCAGATGACGTCACTATTGAACGTGACGTCACTTTTCCCTATCCCTATGACGTCACCTAACAACGGGCGTGATAATAGCCCGTCGTCAAGCAATATGAGGACATTATCAAGTTACAGTGGCCCGCTCATTTAAGATAACATGCGGGCGGTTTAATGATAATTCTATCCATTTTAGCTATAATACAAAATATTTACCACCCCAAAACGTGTGATAAGCTCTGATTATTGTCATGTCTTAAAGGATTTGTTTCCCCTTTTCAGATTCGTGAATCCAACTCTGATATTGTTGCGTTTCAAGAAGTACGAAGTGATTTCTATGAAGAACATTCCCAGGTGTTAGAGTTAAAGAAATTGTTACCCGAATACAGATGGGCTGTATGGCGCACAGCTAACACAGTTGCTCAAAGTGATAACTTCATCCAAAACCTGTGGGCAAAGGAAGGTAGGACCCTGCTTTCAAAATTACCCAAACAAATTCTGATTTCGTTGCCCATGGTCCATCATTGTCATTTGGACTAAACCATCTTCCTGAGGCAGGGGAGTTAACTGACTGTAAAAGTCCAGTTTCCACCCTTGCCGAGCTAGGCTGAAATTTCTGGGCTAGATCGTTGCATCATCAGTGGCAATGAAGAGTTATGTCCCTTCTATGTCCTTCCTACAGACAATCAGATTCCACCTCTCGTATAGCTTACATTTGCTTCAAACAAAATAGAGGCGCCCAGTCTAGACAATAAGAACGATAATCAAATCTGTATTGTTATAGAACGGTGCAAATCATGTGAGCACCTTGATTAAAAACATGAAACATTTTGGAAAATATCTGTTAATGCAAAGTTGGTGGTACACATGATTTGCAAATTGTTACACGATTTTGATTGGACTATGCATAGACTCGTTAGTACAGCCAAATTATAACTCCATAATTCCAACCCATTTCGGCAAGGATGGAAAATGGACTTTTATAGTCAGTTAATTCCCTTGCCTTGGGAAGATGGGACTGAACATGTTAAACCATCTGTTTTAATTTTTTCTTCTGCTGAGTTGTACTGATCATTGAGATAATATTGTAGTTGGTTCTATACAGTAGCAGGGATGAGTAATTATTAGAATATACAAACTGTGGTATTAATGGTTAATAGAATGTTGGTACTATGGTATTCACCGTATTAACATGATAAGCACTTGGATATTAACAGACTGGCCTGCCTATTTAAATCAGTCACAATTAAATTTGATGTCAAAGCAAGAGAGGAAGAGCAAAATATATTAAATGTCCATGAAAGTAAACATTTCTGCCATGCTATTTCTAGTGCCAACTAATACTGGTGATGTTTTTGATATTTACAAAATGTCAGAGCTCAATCTCTGCATGAACAATATGCATCCCAGCTGTACTTTTGTAAGAAATGTTTATTATAAACAAGAAAATATGGACAGTCATGTACACTTTTTTGCTTAGTATATTTATCTATTTGTATAAAGGTTACTTGTAGATTGGCCGAGAAGTTGGCTAAGGGTGCTTTTCGTAGGAAGTCGTGATACAGTAGTGCTTTTGCTGCATTAGTATGTGTTTTACCAATAAGTAAATACATTCATAACAATAACATATATACTGGAATACATTATAGAATTACTACCGTTCAATTTAAAAGGTTTTAGCTGATCTCTTTATAAGGACGATAATGATTACTGATTTGACATAATAAGCGCCCAGGGTGCTCACAAAATTAGAAATAGGGGGCTCTTATTAGAATATTATTTTGGTGGAAAAATACAGAGTTGAAAGATAAATTTTGTAGTTAATGCTGACAGCCTGAAATGTTTATATACGACAGATATATTTTTCCAGAATTTAATTGCCCATAATTAAGGGTGCATATAACACACAATTGCGTATTATCGTCTTTTGTACATTGATCAATCGGAAGGGGTGCTAATTTGGATTGTTCACTAGGCAATATATTTGCAAAAATCGCTGAGGGCACTTATTAGAGCGGGGTGCTTATTACGTCGAATACGGAAGAAGAAAAACTGACATAATGTTTTGTATTTCCAGGGATAGGCGTACTGAGCAAGCGGCCCATCCTGACTATGAACATGCAGAGTCTGCCGAACCACGGAGGTCCCGACACAAACAAGAGAATTGCCCTCCATGTCAGCATCAGCCTGGACAGAAACACGGTCCTCAACCTCGTGGCAGTTCATTTCTCCTACCACCGGCAACAGCAGTGTCACAACTCGGCAGCTATCCTGGAATACATAAGATGTATGTAGTTTAGTAATTGTTCTTCTCTGTCATCATGGTAGACGCTGGGGTGGCCTAGAGGTTAAAGGGTTTGCTTGTCATGACGAAGGCCTGGCTTCAATTCCTTACATTGTGTGACGCCCATATCTGGTCTCCCCCACAGGATATTGGTGGAATATTGCTAAAAGCTGCGTAAAACCCATGCTGGGGTAGCCTAGAGGTTAAACGCTACGCACATCACGCTGAAGGCCTGGGTTCAATTCTCCACATGGGTACAATGTGTGAAGCCCATTTCTGGTCTCCCCCGCGGGATATTGCTGCAATATTGCTAAAAGCTGCATAAACTCTCTGACTCTATCATTATGTCCCGAACTTCCAAGATCCACTCATTATTTGGTCATTCCAAGGGCAGTATTCGACAGAGTGATTTTAGCACTACGACTGCCTAGAATTATGACTATAGTAAGATCTCTTTGCCAACTGTGCCCTGATTCACCCTGACAATCTTTATTGGCATTGGATGATCAGGCTCGCTGACTTGGTTGATGCATGTCATTGATCCCGATTGCGTGGATCGATTCATATGTTGTCAATCACTAGATTGTCTGGTCCAGACTCGATTGTTTACAGACTGCCGTCATATAGCTGGAATATTGCTGAGTGTAGCATTAAACAACAAAAAAACAAACAAAAACATTATTGGTCTATCAGCACTGCAGCTGTGAGAAGTTGGCCAAAGACTATGACCTGCATCACTTTAGATTTCCCTTTTACACTTTTACAAATTTTGAGATTTGATTCAGAGAAGACACCAGACCCGCTAGATAGGCTAAATTTCAAGAGAAATGTGAAAATTCGATGAGGAAAGATTGAAGTTTACATTTTCACATGCTTTCATTGTTTCTTGATACATTTTATATTTTTCAAGAGACTAAACAATCCATTCCTAATGATCATATTCATCAATTTCGATGTCTTGCATGTTGACCTCAAAAGTCCTTATTACAAAGAATGTGCGGCTCAGTGTATGGTTTGTCATTAGTTCCTATAGATTATGATCATGTGTATAGCATAGGAACTATTCTTCAGTGAAACAGATGAAGAATGTCATCATTGTTGGTGACTTCAACACATACATGGACTATGACGCCCCAGTCCGGGTGTTTACCGACAGAGTTGTCACCCCGTCCAACCCCTGCTACCAAGAGATGAAGACCCCGTCCGACAAGGCTCAGACAGCCAGGGTCCTGATGATGGACACCTGGATACACAGTTCATCCAAAGGGGAAGGACTTACCTTCAGCAACATGGTGAGGAATGATGCATACCCCAGCTTTCTGTCCATCTTCCTGAGGCAAGGGAGTTAACTGACTGTAAAAATCCAGTTTCAACCCTTGCTGAACTAAGATGGAATGTCTAGGCTTGATCCTAAAGGCCACCAGTGGCTCTTACGAGTTACGTCCCTTTTATGTCCCCCCTATTGACCAATCAGATTCCACCTCTCATATCATTTGCATTTGCTTCAAATAAAATGGTGTCATCCAGTGAAGACGATCTGATCAATAATCAAGATCTATTTTGAAATAAAACGCGTCTTACTTCGCCAGGTGCATCAAATCATATGAGCGAGCACCTTGATTGAAAACATGAAAAGATTTGGAAAATATCTTTGACGCTAAGTTGTCGGTGCACATGCTTTGCAAACCCTGCAATCGGCCGAAATCTTCGAACCGGATGTAGATTTCATTTCACGATTTTGATTGGACTATGCATAGACTTGGTAGTCAAGGCAAAATGTAACTCCATGATTCCAGCATAGTTTGGCAAGGGTGGAAACTGGACTTTTATAGTCAGTGAACTCCCTTGCCTTGGGAAGATGCTTTCTGCCACTCCCTAAAGGGACTGAAGTCAATTAGCAAAGAGATTGCTGTTTGGTGTGGTGGTTGTTTTGTGTTATAGCAGCGAGATTCTTATGTTATATGTTGGTGTTATTTCGTAACATTGGTAGCATTGTTGTGCAAAATAGGGAGAATGGGTGTGATAGGTCAGGGGCTTTGTTGTGCTATGTTGCTCCGGATAAATCCTAAACACACACCCTCCATGTAGGCTAGTTATTTCAATGACAACACGTGGCACCCTTGATGTTCAAAACAATTCACGAAAGTTATCAGCACTGATCTCATTAATTGATCCCTATTGCAACATATGAAAGGGTAACAACTCACTAACAAGGTAAATGTTTGTTTAGCAACTGAAGTTAGATTGATGATTGATGAAGTTGGAAGTCGGATCGTAATTAGGCCTAGATATGAAAACTGAAAGAGCATAATTCCGCTATACTTAGAACGTGCTCATTGTAACTCTGCTTTCTTTACTATGGAAAACGACAATATATTTTCATATTGTTTTTGTTCACGTGGAACCAAACTGTTTTATAACAAATTTCGGTATTGAGAAACCATATACTTTTAACACACGTCAAAAGAAATTATACACTCGTACTACATAAAAAGTAGAGCAATGATGAATCATTGGATTGTCTGGTCCAGACTCGATTATTTACAGACCGCCGTCATATACCTGGAATATTGCGTAAAGCAACAAACAAAATAAGTCTAACTTTTCTTCTTTATTTCCAGCCCACGCCAGGATATGAAAGTCGACCAGACCGGATCCTTGTGACCAGGCAGTCATTCAAGGTCAAACTGACACGCCTGTCTGGAAATGGCACAACATACAAAAGCAAATACCAAGGATCCATCAAACTGAAGCGCGTCCGATCTCTGATCCGAAACGCCTTCTATACATTTCAAGGATACACTGGTTTCTCCTGTGATCACGACTGTGGGCCCCGAGGAGTGTGTCGATGTGGGATGTGTGTAAAGGGAGACAACTCTGAACGATGTGACCTGCCCAATTGTAATGAATGCAATGGCTATCTTTTTGGCATTTTTATATCTTATTCTTTTGTACTGGCACTGTCAATTTTATCTTTTTTATACGCCTTACTGAGGGTTTTAGTTGTGTCCTCAAAGTTCAGTCCAGAAACGTTTTTTTCTATCATGGGTTGCACGTGTTGTTTGTTCAACCCTCAACTGTACAGTTTTCAACGTTTGTCAAGTAGGCATCGTTCTCTCCGAATATTTGCACCGATAGTGCGACTACCGCCAATGGTCTTGTTGATTTGTGCCTTGATCTTGATCATATTCCTCTTGTTTATTGGTGACAACTTTTTTCAGACGGGTTTAGAAACTGCAAGTCTTATAATGGATGAAGAATTTTTTCCTTCCGATCATTTGATGTATACAGCCCGGCTTGAAATGAAGTCATGATTTTCACTCATAGTGAATGAGTGAGTTGGGTTTAACTCCGCTTTGAACAGTATTTCAGTTATATCGCGCATGTCAGCTTAAGGTTAAAAAAATTACCAACTTGGTTCTCAGGCACCGCCCACATCATCATAAAGTCTGTTGCACATTTCGTTTTTATTTCCATTTTCAAAAACAATCTAAAAAAATCCTAATACTTTAATGAAAACAATGCAATCCAATATAGCATGCAGTTACTTCCCTTTACATGCACATTTTACATGTGTATTTGGTTACATACTAGTTTGAACAAGCAAAAAAAAACCACCTACCGCTTGCACTATATTTTCAAAAGTCATTGCCTGAGAACCAATTCTTTTATTTTGTTAAGCCTCATGTTTGAGGAAAGCTGGAAGTTATGCGGGTCTCACACGTTTACCAGTTTGGTGAAACCCATGAGTATGGTGCTGACAAAACAAGAAACATAATTGGGTCGAACTGGGAATCAAACCCAAGATCATAGGTTTCTGGCATGTCCAAGGGATGCAACTCTGTGCAGCAAATTGTGGCACCCTTGATGACCAGGCCACCTGTGCCCTTTGGCACTCTTAATCAATACCGTTTGTGCCTATAGAAACAAACACCTTACAGACTTATGCATCGTCATGCAAATCAGGTTTTCTTTACACACATTCTTATGGAATCTGTGTTTTTATGGTTACAGAAAAATTAAGCCTTCAAGAAATTATTTGGTCTTGTTAACAATATGTTTACTTATGTATGGATGGAGATATATGTGTTTATAGGACGGAAAGTACTGACCGAGATGCAAGTATAGAATATATGGTCAGTGATTATGCCATAACAAATAGAAGTTTTTCTCACCAATTTTTAAATTGTAAAGCAAGATAAAGGGGATTGTGTTGCGAGAAACATTGTGCAAAAGACGAGGGGCCTACCAAAATTTATCAGAACAATGGAGTGTAGTGGTGTGTAAATTATGATTTAAACATTATTTAGGTACTGGTTATTTATTATTGGGACGATGGTCATAAAGATATATAGATATATATTCGTGTGTGTGTGGTGGGGGGAGGGGGTGTTACATAAAATGGGGTCACACAATGATACACCCACCCACCCCAAAATAATAAATGGCCAGTCCCTATTTGAGCTGTAACTGATGGGATGCTTTTACTGTTAAAAGGTGGGGAGACTTGTTCCTGGTGATAGTAGCACCATTAACAAGTATATTTTGGTAAAAGAAGACATTGGCCCTTTTAAGAGTGACAAACAAGACAGTCGTTTTATTCAATTTCAGCCTCCAGCTCAAAATATTCTGTGCAGTTTAGTTATGGGGCACATTTAATATTAAAAGTTTCTTGTTTCAACATTATTATTTTTAATGTTAATATGAGGCATTGTTACATATTACGTCAATGTTATTGTTCTTTATGAAATCAGTAAGTGTTTGAAAAGTGTACAGCTCTTTAACAAGCTTAGTGATGTAGTTTGTCCTTGTGTGAGAGTAATGATGCAAACATTTGAAGCAAGTAATATATTTGATGTGGCCCAATGGCTATTGTTGTAATAGATTGTTGCAGGTAGTTTTGTTGTTATTAAGAATCAAACTTTGATGTACATGTCCATATTAAAACATGGCTAGGAGCAGATTGTTTATATCAGGGAGCATATGCTGTTGATATGAGTTATACAATGTAGAAAATTATGTTGAACAATCTGTCCATTATATCTATGCGCAAATTCAAAAGGAATAAATACTGTTATCAGTTATTTGTGGTATTCATTTCACCAGAGGCAGTATTCATTTCACCAAAGATTATATATTTATTTCACAGGAAGTGGTACTCATTTCACCAGAGTTGGTGGTATTCATTTCAAAGATTATATATTTATTTCACCAAAAGTTATATATTTATTTCACCAGAAGTGGTAGTCATTTCATTATACCAAAGATTATATATTTATTTCACCAGAGGCAGTATTTATTTTACCAGAGTTGGTATTTATTTCACCAGAGTTGGTATTCATTTCACCAGAGGGTATTCATTTCTCCAGAGTTGGTATTTATTTCTCCAGAGTTGGTATTTATTTCACCAGACATGGTATTTATTGCACCAGAGTTGGTATTTATTTCACCAGACATGGTATTTATTTCTCCAGAGTTGGTATTTATTTCACCAGACATGGTATTTATTTCTCCAGAGTTGGTATTTATTTCACCAGACATGGTATTTATTTCACCAGAGTTGGTATTTATTTCACCAGAGTTGGTATTTATTTCACCAGACATGGTATTTATTTCTCCAGAGTTGGTATTTATTTCACCAGAGTTGGTATTTATTTCACCAGACATGGTATTTATTTCTCCAGAGTTGGTATTTATTTCACCAGACATGGTATTTATTTCTCTAGAGTTGGTATTTATTTCACCAGACATGGTATTCATTTCTCCAGAGTTGGTATTTATTTCACCAGAGTTGGTATTTATTTCACCAGACATGGTATTTATTTCTCCAGAGTTGGTATTTATTTCACCAGAGTTGGTATTTATTTCACCAGACATGGTATTTAATTCTCCAGAGTTGGTATTTATTTCACCAGACATGGTATTTATTCCTCCAGAGTTGGTATTTATTTCACCAGACATGGTATTCATTTCTCCAGAGTTGGTATTTATTTCACCAGAGTTGGTATTTATTTCACCAGACATGGTATTTATTTCACCAGACATGGTATTCATTTCTCCAGAGTTGGTATTTATTTCACCAGAGTTGGTATTTATTTCACCAGAGTTGGTATTTATTTCTCCAGAGTTGGTATTTATTTCACCAGACATGGTATTTATTTCTCCAGAGTTGGTATTCATTTCACCAGAGTTTGTAAATTCATTTCAAGAGAGTTGGTATTTATTTCACCAGAGTTGGTATTCATTTCACCAAGGATTATATATTTATTTCACCAGAAGTGGTACTCATTTCACCAAGGATTATATTTTTATTTCACCAGAAGTGGTATTTATTTCACCAGAGGGTATTCATTTTATCAGAGTTGGTATTCCATTTACTAGAGTTGGTATTCATTTCACCAGAGTTGGTATTTATTTCACCAGAGTTGGTATTTATTTCACCAGAGGCGGTATTTATTTTACCAGAGTTGGTATTTATTTCACCAGAGGCGGTATTTATTTCACCAGAGGCGGTATTTATTTCTCCAGAGTTGGTATTTATTTCACCAGAGGCGGTATTTATTTCACCAGAGTTGGTATTTATTTCACCAGAGTTGGTATTCATTTCACCAGAGTTTGTAAATTCATTTCAAGAGAGTTGGTATTTATTTCACCAGAGGGTATTCATTTCACCAAGGATTATATATTTATTTCACCAGAAGTGGTACTCATTTCCCCAAGGATTATATATTTATTTCACCAGAAGTGGTACTCATTTCACCAAGGATTATATTTTTATTTCACCAGAAGTGGTACTCATTTCACCAGAGGGTATTCATTTCACCAGAGTTGGTATTCATTTCACCAGAGTTGGTATTTATTTCACCAGAGTTGGTATCTATTTCACCAGAGGCGGTATTTATTTCACCAGAGTTGGTATTTATTTCACCAGAGGCGGTATTTATTTCACCAGAGGCGGTATATATTTCACCAGAGTTGGTATTTATTTCACCAGAGGCGGTATTTATTTCACCAGAGTTGGTATTTATTTCACCAGAGTTGGTATTCATTTCACCAGAGTTGGTATTTATTTCACCAGACATGGTATTTATTTCACCAGACATGGTATTCATTTCTCCAGAGTTGGTATTTATTTCACCAGAGTTGGTATTTATTTCACCAGACATGGTATTTATTTCTCCAGAGTTGGTATTTATTTCACCAGACATGGTATTTATTTCTCCAGAGTTGGTATTCATTTCACCAGAATTTTATTTAAGATAGGAATAAGTTTGTCTCCAGTTTAAGAATGATAATTGTTCGTTGTCCATTAAAATAATGGTTAGCTCCTTGTATTTCTTGAAGCAGTGACCGAAAAGATAATCATAGTCTCTAAACATAAACCCGTGACTCTTCCCGAAAATGGTAATTAGTCGTCCTTGGACAGTTTGTAGAAACAATCTGCAAGTAAATGGTGCACGAGACCATGCATCAGTATCATTTTCAATCTGGTTCGAAACTACACCCATTCATCTTGCTGGTGCAAGCTCCTCACAGCGTTAGTCCGTTCGCGGAGCTCTCTATCTCACAGCGTTAGTCCGTTCGCGGAGCTCTCTATACTATCGCTGCCACCAGTCAAAACTCCCCACTGTGAATAGGTGGCCACAACCATGCTTGGAGTTGAACTCGCAACCGAAGGACCGTTATGTTTACAAACAAGTGACGACTGTCGTGACGCCGAATACACTTATCTCTGCTAAATTACTTGCTTCGTTTGTCAATTTGAATTTCTGTTTCATTAAAACTATCGTGTTATTGATATAGTAAGAATGTAAGGGAGAAGTTGGTTGATTTTCCGTTTGTCTGCAATCTCGAACCAATTTGATTATCAAAACAACAAAGTAAATTCATCTGGAAAACATGGTCAGTCGTAAAACTTTTCAAATTGAAATATGATGGCATTCCCAAAGACATAAACAAAAGTATAAACGTTACTTAATATGGGGTTGGAGGGCAAATTTCAAGATTCTTGTAATGGCCGCGCCCACACTGGTGGCAGCAATGTTACCGAGAGTGTAACGAAGGTGTCACGCGCTGGGAAGGAGCTTGTTGCTGGTGCAGCAATGGGACGCAACTCTGCACTGCCAGTCACAGCCTGGTGCCCTGGGTATGCATACCCAGGGAACTATGCTGGGCCTCCGAGAGTAAACGGGCGAAGTCAGATGTGCTTCTTGTTGTCTCTGTAATTACTGTTTGGAACACGTGATATTGAAACAGTCACAATCCGGTCGGGATATAAAATAGGTCCCGAGACAAAGTGGGCCGGCCACTATGACCGATATCCGCGGTCACACGCACATGCCAATCTGTTAGCATGAATGATACATACAATTACTCATCTATAATGAATCATCGGTGATATAGATCTAGATCAGATGTAGGTATCATTGTATGTTCTCAAATTTTAATGCGACATCACTTATTACACCATGTAATAAACTCTATATACGTCGAAGGTGAGTGTTGAAATGCGTATACTCATCAAAATTAATCCATATGCATGCACAGGGATGAAGGTCAAAGATCAAGTCAATATTACAGGACAAACTGTATTGATAAACAACAATTGTCACGATAAAATGAAAATTTCTGCTTCCAAGACACAAACCACGGTTATGACAGGATATTTATAAGGTGTAAACGACCGACACCCACTGATAAGAATGCATCGGTAAAAAACTGTAACAGGGGTCGTCTCAAAAACAAGGGCTTGTAAAGCAAGCAATAGTACTATGACCACGTTAGTGACCATATAAGGCGACTATGCTTGTCGTTAGAGGCGACTAAAGGGTGACCAGGCTCGCTGACTTGGTTGATGAATGTCATCGCATCCCAATTGTGTGCTCGATGCTCATGATGTCACTCACTGGATGGCCTGATCCAGTTGCTTTTTATATGTCAACGTGACTAATACGCTCTAAAAGTGGGGAAGTTTACACCCCTGCAACACACACACACGCACGCGCACGCACGCGCACGCACACGCACGCACGCACACACACACACACACACACACACACACACACACACACGTACACACACACACACACACGTACACACACACACCTCATCTGCACCGGTGTCTATGCATTAGAAGTACGATGAGTGCGGAATCCCATCCAGAAAGTGTTCTCGATAATGTCTGCACCGCTGTTAATTTGGTTGTTAGGGGGGACAGCAAACCAAGCACTGCTGACTTCTTATAAAGTACTCGAGCGTTTCTCGGCAGTTTTAGTTGTCAGAATAAAGCGTAGCACCAAGTACATTTAGAAATCAGACCTAAACTCCAGACACTAGCTTTAAATTCTCACACCACGATTATAAATAGCACAATAGGTGGCATTTAGAAGTTGGTATGATGACCAAGGGAGATTGTTGTATGGATGTACAACTTCATTATTATACAATGGCTTCGACATAGACACCGTTGTCACATCACTTGCTTGATAACGGTGTTAATATCTACCCCGAAAAGTCGCTGTAATTGTAATATAGAAGTTGTATGCCCATACAACAATCCCCCTTGTATGTTAAATTAATCCTCGCAATGTAGATGTGAAATTAACGCACTTGCGTTAGAATTATCGCAATACCTTCAAGATGCGAATCTCGATGCCATGGGTTTAGGTTACCATGAGGTGAGTTCAATAGGGGTTCGCAGCAAGGAGATAACACTTTATTTTTGAGGCGATGCTTGCTTATAATGTGTCTTAAAAGCCTAAATAAGCTTTTACGGTGAAATCCATTTTCTTGATTACGCATTGTTATCTATGAAATTACCAATCTCATTAAAATCGCTAAACAAAGATCTGAGGACATCCCATTACGGGTCACGCCAGAACGACCTTTCATCCAACCCATCAGAGCGTCGCTTACCAGATCATGAAAGTGATGGACGGAATGTGTTTTCTAATCATGCAACCTCGTAAAAATTAACAGAGGGTATTCCGAACGACAGTTACGTTGTCTTTTTTATTATATGCATACAATCTAGGCCATCTATAAGCCATTCCAGAATGTTCTTGTATAAGTTTTAAATTTATAAATCGAGAATACGTCAAAATATGTTTCGAAGCGTAGTCGCCAGTTTGAAACTTGTGTCGTAAAGCTCGAGAAAGCTACCTTCTGATTGGCTAATGTCGATCTCTTGTCAGTCATTTCATTGGTCGGAAAGATTCCGGGGTAGAATAAGTCTTTAGCAACCCATGCTTACCGTAAAAGGTGACTATGCTTGTCGTAAAAGGCGACTAACGGGATCGGGTGGTCAGGCTCGCTGACTTGGTAACAGATAGACAATCTAATGCATTTGGATACCGTTTCATACGGGTCGACACCTTTTCAAAACCTTTTTCTTGTAATATAGGTACGCCAGTAAGTAAATAATAATATTTATCTGCTCCTGCTAAAATCACGAACAAAACTTTAAATTAACAATGGAGAAAACAAGGAGATACGACAAAAATACTTTGCTGTGGTCTTTGTAAAAAATAAAATCCGTTTTAAAATTAATCTTTAGACTGAATGTTGGGAGATACACATGTTGGGCCAGGCAACAGATAGCCAGGCAATATATACTGCCTGACAAAGGAAAATATACATCCATATTTGATGGTAGCGAAAAGTGAACAAACAAGAAATGGTTATTCGATGGTGATGTACTTGATACGGGTATCTAATTCTTTATTCATGTACATGTGTAGGCCAGCGGCCCATGGTACAATATTCGGTCCATCATTAACATTTATAGGCTTAGTGTTTGGAGTCTAACATTCATAGCATGGTATATAAAAGTTGCAACATTTCTAATTACAGTTTCATTGTTTACCGCCATAAGCATATTGAATTTAGCAAGAGTAGGATGTACAAAATACTTCTGTGGTAAATACTGAAGACGAAGTTCATCATAAGCGTTACAAATTAATGAAAAATGATATTCATTCTCGACATATCTTTGGTTGCAACTATTGCACAATCTCTGCTCTCGTGGAGGATACGGGTATCATAGTTGTGTCTTGGACCATGGGTGTACCGTGTTTCGTGAAGATCCGGGGTAGAATAGGTCTTCAGCAACCCATGCTTGTCGTAAGAGGCGACTAACGGGATCGGGTGGTCAGACTCGCTGACTTGGTTGATGCATGTTATCGTATCCCAATTGTGTGGATCGATGCTCATGATGTCAATCACTGGATTGTCTGTTCCATACTCGATTATGTACAGACCGACGTCATATAGCTGGAATATTGTTGAGTTCGGTGTGAAAAAACAAACAAACAAACAAACACACAAACAGTGTTTCGGCTACTGGTTTCATCCTAGTGACGGTTTGATAACGTTTGTAATTGTGTGGTCAAATCCTATTTTCAAGTGTATACTTTGTTTTACCCTGCTGTCTATGTGTGGTTACCTGCGATCGTGTTACCAGTTATCGATGCAGGTTGTGTTTGAACAGCGCCGCAGGTGAGGTGTTCTACTTTCAGGTGTATTGAGCAATACTGGGGCGTCTACTTGTCCTGTATATCAACCCTTATCGCAGTTCATACCCCTGACCATGAGTAACAACTGACGGGTGATTTTTTTCCTCTACAGTCACGTGTCGACAAAGAAGGAAATATTATCCATAGCGACCTGTCGTCACAGAGTGCGTTTTGGTTGTAAATTTATTTTTTTAAAACTTTTTATTCAGTTTAAAATTCAAACTAAGAAGACAAATATTTTTTGCTTCTCTGAACTAACTGAAAGCAGTTTGACTTAGTAACCTGGCGAAACAATATGTCACATGACTGGTCAACAGCTTTACTTTGTACATGCAAACCAACCTATTTGCAGTATGAACCAATACATAGCCTTAAAACTGCCCAGTGAAGTGTTGATACCACCCCTAAGTAAACAAGGTGACGATGAGCTAACTTTATCGTTTGTACGAAGGTGAAGGTTATTCACCTCATGTGACTACTGCATTCTGTAATTCGTCATAGAGCACGCTTGGTACCTGTATATAATAAAAAAAAGATGTTGGTTTAGCTTCACAGAAGGATGTGAACCACAGTTGGGGATCAGGACGCCACTTCACCCAAGCCGACACCATGGGATTCTTGAGCCAGCTTGGGTTGCTGATGTGGAAAAATTCCCTCCTGCAAAGAAGGAAAAAATGTGTGACGTTGTTTGAGATCTCTATGCCTTTGTTCTTTGCCGTGTTGTTCCTTCTCCTGAGATTCAACATTAAGATAACACCAAAGAATGAGGCCACACTCTATGACGACTTCCCCGTGACGACGAATGGAACTGTCTTTGACTTGAAAGGAACGGATTCAGGAAATATTATACTGTACACGCCAAACACAACATTACTCAACAATCTGATGGCTCAAGTGGAGACCGACATGGGTGTAAAACTGGCAAATGGTAAGTCTCAGTTAGGATTCAAAGAATTGCCGCGCTTTGAAAATGTCGTTACTCTGAGTTTCTTTACTTCTGACGTTTTTACTAATCTAGTTTCCATGGCAACCACTATTTTGGTGACCACACCCAAACAGGTATTTGGACGGATTGGACGTTTTCATCTGCACATGTAGTTCGCAAACCTTTTGTGTACTTGGTTTAGATGTGTAATAATTCACGATCATTTTATTCATCCTGGTTGGTTTTTTTCTTTAAAACACACCGTCCACCCCACCCGGAATATCACAAAATAAAGAAAATACGCACATGTGTTTCTTAATATATTATGAAAAAAGAATACAGTGTAAGGGCTGGTTGTATTGATGAGGTTATGTCGTATTGAGATGTAACATTATAACATAATGATAAATAATATGCGGGTATTTACCCATTTTCTTAATATGTAGTCAATATGGTATTGATAGAAACCCCCCTGTCTTGATTCCAACAATGCCTAGTATATTCTAAAAAACATGTTGCTTATTGGTGTTTAATTGTTGGTTTGGAAGATTATAAATTTTTGTTCTCACAATATGATTTTATTACTTTAAGGCTTTATCTTAATTTCAATTCTCTAGGCATACCTAAATTGTAAAAATGGGTCGACAGTATAATATTAATCGAACTTTTAGATTTTGTCCATTTTATATGGTATAAATAGTAGAATCAGAATACCTCTTTTGCCTCAAATGTCCATTTAAGTGATAGTATTTTGCCAAAGTATTATTGTGTCCATCCAAACCAGCAAAAACATAAAATGCTATTCTCCAGTCCACCGATATTATTTGTTTCTATTTTGTATGACATTGTTTACGGATTTAACAAAATATTAGAGGCGGTGGTCGAAATAAAATTATGAAAAACAAAACTAACAAACAACATACATTTAAAAAGTCATTGAATAGTATAGTCGGCAGTTAAAAAAACAATAAATTACATGACCAATTCTACAGCTGTCTACAACATCGATACCGGAACCAGTAAGCAACGTTGACGGTAGCAGTCTTTATCCCGCGAAAAATACTATTTTTGCGAAATAATCTAACTAGGTCGGATTAAAATGTATTTGTCATTTTATTCCACATTTTTTTTAACTTGAGGGTCTGTGGATCCTTAATGTTGTAAAAAACAAATAACAGTGGTCAATTTAATGAGACTCTGATCTGACCTGAGGTGGCCTAATAGAATCAAGGATGTATATTGCGCACAACATAATGACGTACTTCGTAACAACGCGACATTTTGACGACATGTACAAAATCTCTCAACAATCTACTGTTAACATTTCCCTCTTATAATAAATACAATACTATCGGTGACATAACATCACCTTGCTTAAAAATACCTGTATGGAAATAATCTTATATACATTAATTAATCTTCACGCAAGATTTCACAACTTCTTTCATACACTTTACCTAGCACACCTTGTATGAAAATATAATTTCTGCCAATACTACCAAATGCTTTTGATAGACAGACATATTTGATGTCAGTATTCGCGTCTAACGGCTCATATTACAATAAGTTCTGTATGTGTGAAGATGGCGTAAAGAACCAAGTGATACTAACATTAATATCTAGGGGTTTCCACAACAACTGGTATGTTCCTAAGTTTTACGACATTTTGTTAGTAAACGACCACATCAGACTCGTGCTGTCGGTACACTTCAGTAATCGCAGAAAATATTCCCCCGATGGATTATACCAACTATTTGGAGGGAAAATACTTTTCGTATCGTTTACATACCACTTAATAACCATCTTCTACAATTCAACAGTATAAACATAGTCCATAACAAAATGTGCATGTATTATGCCCCCCTGTTTCAAAAGGCATTCTAAATTAAGCAAATACATATCTATAAGTTGAATATCCGATGAAAAGTATCCTTCACCATTAATTATTAGTCGTTAAACAAACAAACAAGCAATAATTTCAATTGGGCACAATAATGCCGTTTTTATGTTACAAAGCCAATACTGCATGAAGCAGTCATATACTCGCTGTTTAATAAGAGAAATTAACATATTCACATCACCAAGATCTGTGTTATTTGCAACACTCCCATCCCATGTTGGGACAAATATTTCTAATACAACGCGCCCATGTTACTGTTTGACCAGGGTCATCGAGTGGCGAAAGTTTAACATAGGACCGATTGGGTAATCTATGTATTACATCTCAATGTTTTATTCTACACCAATATTTAAGACTAAATTAGATTCCCCCCAAGCAGGGATCTAACTTTTAAAATTTGACAGTTAGATCCCTAAGAGCGCAGCCCGCAGAGTCTAACTGTCAAATTTTAAAAGTTTGATCCCGGCTTGAAGGGAACTAATTTATTTAAACCATGTCCAACATTTATAACACCTAAAATGCTTAAAAAACATTGTTTTGTTTAAGGTATTTTGAAAGATATTCAGGAACTCTATGCTCAACTGTGAGAAAACTGTGTGAGTCGGCCCTGCGTGAAGCACGTGAAATGTGTTCCCCGAGCCTTTCGCACGTGCACCTCGCACTTTGCCGATGTGGGTTATGAAATGCATGTCCCGGGGCAAGTATACCATTAGTTTTGGACCAACTCGAGCACATTTATCAATCAACTAAATATTACTTGCCCATGTTGATGGGCCTATTATGAGCAAATATAGCCCTGATCAAGATAATAGTAATTTCTTTTCTGTCTGTTCGTTTCGTTGAACGAAAAGCTTCAAAATCACAAGTAATGTACAAATACTAGAATGCATAGAGTAACATACTGTATAAAAATTGCATAATACACATTTCTCAGTTCATAATGGGATAAGCAATTGGTACTGATTTTAATTTCACACCCTTTCTCCCATGTCGCCGTGGCAGAAGACTACATTCGTTAGCCTTCCGTGCGGACTTCGCGGGTTCCAATCCCGCTGGCGACAATGGTTTTTCATGAAATTGTTCTATCATCAAGACAAATGATAGGGGAAAAAGAACTTTCGTCATTGCCAACAGGTGTTTAACTAACAATTAAGTTAGTTAGACCACGGTCAAAGACAAAGGAGCCATGGTTTAATTGGTTTTAACATAGACATAATACTTGTAGGGGAACTCTTCCACATTCACCAAGCGTCATTAAAGTGATAGAATATTTCTGCAAAAAAATATTCTGTACACTTTCGATTATTTACGCACAATGTTTGGTTCCCCATATTCCTGAGGCATAGCACGGCATTGAGGTGGGGTGAGGTAAGGTGAAATGGGGTTTAACGTCGCGTCCAAGATTATTGCACTTATGCAGCGACGTGCATCTGTGTGTCTGTGGCTACTTGTACTAGTCCGGACTGATGCCGATTTATAGTGCTAGCACACTGAGATACCATGCCGCAGTTTAACACGAATACCCGACTCAGACTCCCAGCCGACCAGTCCTTGTTTTATCCCCTTAATACCGAGCGCAGGACTGGGTAACAACAAGTACCATCTTTTAACGACTTTTGGTATGACGCGGCCAGGGATCGAACGCTGAACCTTCCGCTCTCCGGGCGGACGCTCTACCACCAGACCACGGAGGCGGTCCATTGAGGTGATCATTATGTCAAATAACCTAAATGCACCTATGCAAGAATTAAAACCATATGTTTGTTGATAACGGTGCAATGACAATAAATCCTTATTTGCCTTTGCAGGGAGATAATGTGTGTTTCACCATTACAGGCCTGGGGGTAGAAACAACACCCGTATATCTACATGTATAGGAGTTTACAACACCATCCTCTGTCCCCTATAGTACCACTTTTAAAAATGACGAAGTCGACCCATTCTGCAAAAAAATATGTTTTAGTTTTTAATATTTACATTTCCCCGTGTTATCACAAAACATGTCAGGATGTTATCTTCCTCTGTGATGGTATAACGGTTCAACTAAATCTGTAACATCATCCGCAAAGAATATTGCTACACTGTTACGGCGCTCTGATTACCATTCCAACCATTCGTTTCAAATGAAGTAGCTGCGAAAAAGGTAACTGGTTAATGAAAATGAGAGACATTATCGGGCTTACATTACAACCCTGACGGATGATACTGCACTTAAAATACTCAGTTAACCCCTCAAATGTTTTCACCCAAGCAGATAATGAACACTAAAGTGATACACCTGTCAGATAACGAAGAATACATTGATACACCTGTCAGATAATGAAGACTACATTGATACACCTGTCAGATAATGAAGAGTACATTGATACACCTGTCAGATAATGAAGACTACATTGATACACCTGTCAGATAATGAAGACTACATTGATGCACCTGTCAGATAACGAAGAGTACATTGATACACCTGTCAGATAACGAAGAGTACATTGATACACCTGTCAGATAACGAAGAGTACATTGATACACCTGTCAGATAACGAAGAGTACATTGATACACCTGTCAGATAACGAAGAGTACATTGATACACCTGTTAGATAATGAAGAGTACATTGATACACCTGTTAGATAATGAAGAATACATTGATACACCTGTTAGATAATGAAGAATACATTGATATACCTGTCAGATAACGAAGAATACATTGATACAACATACTTGAGGAATGTACCTTTAACATCCATATTTGACTAACTCTGGTATAAGACGTCATAATTCATACAATCAAACGCCTCATTAAAATCAATGCAAAATCAATAAAATCCCCCATTTTTCTTAGACACGTATTCCTGGATCATAGCGTGTGAGGAAAATATACGGTCAATCGTAGGATAATTAGACCTAAGGCCCGCCTGCAATTCTGATATAAACTTATGTTGATAACAAATTATATATGTAGTCTCTTATTTAATGGGATGTTAGCAGTCAGTAATTTACCCAACGTATTGATGAGCACTATACCTCTATAGTTGTCTGTACTTGTCCCCAGATTTATGTAACGGGCAAATACTACTTTTGTCCCACTGATTTGGAAATAGTCCATCGTTGAAGAGTTTATTGAACACTTTTGTGAACACTGGTGTGATATAATGTTTAGTTGATTTCAAACGTTCACTCGGAAGGTAATCTTCTCCAGGTGATTTACAATTATTTTGTCTCGATATACTCCAGTAGAACGCCGTTTTGAACAGTATTCGAGTTATATTACGGTCTGTCAGCTTGATGTCGGAGGAAAGCCTGAAGTGATGCAGAACTCTGACAGTTACCACTTTGGTGAAACCCACGAGTACGGGTATGGTGCTGACGAATCTAGAAACATAAAAGGGCGAACCGGGATTCGAACCCACAATCATAGGTTTCTGGCGTTGTAAAACATATTTTTACTATTTCAATTTTTTTGTTCTACCATTTTCTAAATACATTTGTTATTTATTAATCTCAAAATCAATTTATAACCCTTTAAAGATTTGTATTTCTTGTGTTTCAAGTATTCTAGTTCTGTATCCCAATACATTTTTCTTTACATTTGATTTCCCACAAGGATGACTCGTCATTTTACTTGCAACCGACTGGTATATATTTGAAATATTATTAACATCTACATTTTGAAAATAGATTAATAGCTCGTGCAACATAGGCCAAAAAGGAAAGCAATTAACACAATGTTCACACTGTTTATCAAGTAGCTTCAGATATGTTTATATGAGTATCTTCAAAATAAATTCAAAACAGTTCCAATACAATTTTTTAGGAGATTCGACATTTTGGGTGTCATACATTCTCACCACCCGCTCACCTGTCGGCTCTTACCTATTCTACCCCGATGTCCGGCGAGATACTACAGATAACTGACAGGAGGAGCTTTTACAACTAACTGCCAGACGAGACATTACATTTACCCTAAAACAACACAAAAACTAACAGTTACTTAAAAGAAAGTTGCGTTATTCAGTGACGGTGGTGGGGTTTGCCAGTCCGGAAGAGATGCTTCGTCACTACAAGTACCACCCTGACAACATCTCCTACGCTGCAGAGTTCAACGTCATCTCGACAGCGACGTCGTTGCCGATGTCTCTCCATTATAGCTTGCGCCCCAAAATGGAAGACTGGGAAACAGATTCCGTCACCTCGTTTTCCGGGAGCAACTCCCCCCGGGATGGGGAACCAGGTGAGTCTGATTGAGTGAGTGAGTAGAGTGAGTGAGTGAGTGAGTGAGGTTCGACGCCGCTTGAGGCAATATTTGAGCAATATCACGGCGGGGGACACCGGAAAATGGGCTTCACACATTGTACCCATGTGGGGAATAGAACCCGGGTCATCGGCGTGACAAGGCAACGCTTTAACCACTAGGCTACCCCACAGCCCCAGGTGAGTCTTGAAGGATTGACTGTGAGAGAGGCGGGGGTGGGTAGTCTGGATGTTTGTTTTTGTTTGTTTGTTTGTTCTTTAACGCCGCACTCAGCAATATTTCAGATATATGACGGCGGTCTGTAAAAAGTAGAATCTGGACCAGACAATCCAATGATTGATATCATTAGCATCGATCCGAACAATTGGGATACGATGACATGCATCAACCAAGTCAGCGAGTCTGACCACTCGATCCCGTTAATCGCCTCTTACAACAAGCATAGTCGCCTGTTACGGCAAGCATGGGTTGCTGAAGACCTATTCTACCCGGGATCTTCACGGGCCGGTGCGCATGTTAATGACGTACTACAGAATGGCTATGGGCTAGCATGATACAGTCAAAGCAGCAAGGAGACAGCATCAGTGAGGAAGCCTTAGAGGCTGTAGTGAGAGTGTTGGGTTTAACGCCGCTTTGTACCGTATTTTATATTTATTTGACGACACGTCAGTTTCTTTGAGTTGGTTGGTTGGTTCTTTAACGCCGCACTCAGCAATATTCCAGCTATATGACGGCGGTCTGTAAGTTATCGAGTCTGGACCAGACAATCCAGTGATTGATATCATGAGCATAGATCCACGCAATTGAGATCGATGACATGCATCAACCAAGTCAGCTAGCCTGACCACCTGATCCCGTTAGTCTCCTTTTACGACAAGCATGGGTTGCTGAAGACCTATTCTACCCCGGAATCTTCACGGGTGCAGTTTCTTTGAGAGTTCTGGATCGTGAACAGTAAGCATTCCGATGTAACCCATGAGCACGTTGGGCGATGCTGACACTCAAGCATCCAAATGGGTGCCAGTGAGGCCATCGAACCCGCGAACAGAGGGTCAAGGTGAGTTGCGGTGTCTTAGACCACTGTGCCACCACTGTGTCAGCGTCCTGCAACACATTACAATATAAAACAGTAAGTGTAATAGAACAGGTTCAGTGTAAATACTGACCAGTTCAAATGTGTAACATTTAACCAGTCAACTTCATCATTGTTTGATGGGTTTGTTCAGGTTTTATAAAAAAACAAACTATGTTCGTTGGATACGCTGGATGCACTGAAACAAATTATAACAAACAGATGGACAAACCGATGGTAACGTGTCTGTACCCAATTGTTTCCCAGATTATCGATCAAGAGGGTTCCTCTTTCTGCAAAGAACAATCGACGAAGCCGTCATCAAAGAGTGGAACGCCAGCGCCTCAGATCTGCTCGATAACCTTGACCTTCGCCTCCAGCGCATGCCCTTCCCGCCGTATAGAGAGGACGGGATGGCGACATTGCTGCAGATCTTGTTTCCCGTCCTTCTTATGATGAGTTTCATCCTCATGGCCATCCAGACCACTAAAGGAGTTGTGTATGAAAAGGAAAGAAAACTGAAGGTAACAGAGTAAATGAGTCTTATAAAAAAGAAGCAACATCTCAATTTTAAGATCTCAGTATATGCGTACGGTGTTACGCCGGTTTCAACAATAGTTTAACAATATACCAGGGTCAAAGGTGTAGCGATCTCCTTTTATGGGTGCTTTCGCGAAAGGCTTGAAGATTTTATTGCTTTGTCACTTAAATGTTTGGATTCGAAACCTAGATCATAGACTTCTCAGACGAGGCCAACGGTAGCCCTGTCATTATGTAGACGCCGTACAGCTATAGAAGCTACAGGAGCAGTTGGTTAAAGGAAATGGTAAACTCAACGTCTGGGCGGTCACCATTTCAGAGCCAGGCTATGGGCTAGATAAAAGCGGACTGGGTTTCTTGTGTAAAACTGTTCGACAAGACCGTTTAATCTCCTTACTGGGGAACCAGTTTGTAGCGTCTTTATTTAAACCTCCTCTGAAAATCAGCTTGGGCAAAAGTCATGTTTAAATATTAGAAAAACTCTGCCTGGAAACTTCTAAAATAAACCTTTTTGACAATTTTATCTTAAGTCCCAAGCAAGCAATTTTTGAACTGAACTGTCTGTTCTCATTCATATGAACGCATCTAATAATGTTCATACCGATTTCTAAAGTTTCGATCTATTCCTAAAATGTATAGAACCTGTTCCGAAAGGGGCCCATTGTGTGAGTGGCGGGAGCTACAGGTATAACAGGCCATGCTTGCCTTTTTTGCGAAAATTTGGTGTCATCACAGATTTTGGCATATTCATTCATCTAATGTTCATCACTTTTTTGCTCCTTACAGTTTCGCCAGATATTACTTATTGAAACTGATTATCATGTTTTATTTTTTATTTTTCTATCTCGCCCTTTAACGCCAGGAATCCATGAAGTTGATGGGATTGAGTGCTGCTGCTCATTGGGCGTCTTGGTTTCTAACCATCTTCATTTACATCCTGATCTTCTCGGTCATTTTCACCGTGGCCTGCGGTGTCAACATCAGTGGCAATGGCGCCGTACTGGCAAACTCCGACCCGTCTGTCCTGATTGTGTTTCTTATCTGCTACGGAGTGGCCATTATATCGTTCTGCTTCATGATTAGTACCTTCACAAACAGAGGTGAGTCACCAATATTCTTGCCAAGTACTCATGTAAATAACCTAGTACTAATTAAGGCCAACAAGTGGTTAACGGCATGACCAGCAACACACGCTGGATAGGCATAAACATAATCACACAATCACGTATTGTTTCCATTGGATATTTCGGAGAGTGAGTGAGTTGGGTTTAACGCCGCTTTTAACAGTATTCCAGTTCTATCACTGCCGAAGTGATGCAGGTCTCAGACGTTTACCACTTCGGTGAAAGCCACGAGTACGGGTATGGTGCTGACAAACCTAGAAACATAATCGGGGTGAACCGGGATTCGAACCCACAATCATAGGTTTCTGGCGTGCCTAAGGGACGCAACTCTGCACAGCGAATCGCTGCGCCTTAGACGACTGGGCCACCCGTGCCCCCGATACGTGGGAGAAAACCCCAAAGTAATGCAGAGTTGTTTACAAGCTAGGTCGAACCAACAAGCATGTGGGTTGACAAACATAACATCATACATAGAGAGAATCCTTACCCGATACTGCGATCTTAAGATTCTGGCGCGTCCATTGCGGATCCTTAGTGCCTCTTGTGCCCCAGGACATTACAAGCTGTCCACCGATCTCGAGGGGGACAAGAGATGATGTACCCCTAATGTTAGGTTATGTTCCCCGATAGTACATCAACCCATGTCCGAATCGGTAAGAATATGAAAAGAAAGGATTATGACTGTTGAAAAAAGAGGGAATTGAGTGCTACAAAATATACATTGTTGCAAGGTGTTTTTTCTTGAAAAAGACAAATTCAGGCTCATGAGTTTAAAAAAATAAATCTGTTTTTGTAGCTGTAGCTGTAGCTGTAGCTGTTGCTGCAGCGGGGGAAAAACAACTAATCTCTATAAAAAAATCAAGGCCCCATCCCCAGAATATCAAATGGCCGGTGTCTTAGCAGACGACAGAAAACAAACCTAGAGTTTCTTCCCTGAAATCGATTTCATTCGGAAAATATCGTAAATATCCGGAGAATAGCCTTTTACATCATTTATTTTAGATACAAAATTGCGGTTGGTATGCTGCAAATGTAAGCCAACAGTTCGGCAATTCGAGAAGGATACATACAAAATGTTTCTTCCATGTTAGCAGGGTACGTTGAAAATGACAAAAGGTCAGCCAATTAGAAACCGGCATTTATATGTAAGGTAAGATAAAATAAGTTTACAAGTGTCATCTCAATACAAAATGCCAATGACATGTGTGTTTTTTTATATAAAAGAATACAACAGTTCGGCATTTAATCACTTCGTTTATTAGGGATGAATTGATATTCTGGGAAAGTGGTGGGGGTTGGGGGTTGGGGGTTGGGAGATGCCTGGGATGTTATCGAAAAGGTAAGATAAAATAAGTTTAGAAGTGTCATCTAAATACAAAATGTCAATCACATGTGGTTATTTAATGTACAAATAACAAGTCAATGTAATTTGTTTGAAATGTATAAACGTATTTCATCATCATTTCAGTCAGTTATAATAAATCAATTTCCTATTCCTTCCAGCCAATATTGCTTCAGCAGTGTCTGCAATCATCTACTTCATCACGTACTGCCCATACTTCTACCTTCAAACCATCTACACCGACATGACTCGCCCACAGAAGCTGTCGTCATGTCTACTGTTTAACATTGCGATGGGCATGGGCGCTAACGTATTTGGGTTATATGAAGGCACTGGTAAGAAGCGTTTCTATGTATTGTAAGAGAATGAGCGAGTGAGGCATGTTGTTTTACGCCGCAATCCGAAATATTTCTGCAGTAGCACGGAAATCTGTAAACAATGGAGTCTTTGTTAAAGTAACGATATGGTTTTACGCCGCTTTTTGCAATATTCAAGCAATATCACGGCGGGGGACACCAGAAATGGGCTTCACGCATTGTACCCATGTCGGGAATCGAACCCGGGTCTTCGGCGTGACGAGCGAACGCTTTAACCACTAGGCTACCCGACCGCCCTTGCTGCATGAGGAGCGGTCCACCTTGTCCTGATCCTTATTTCATGATGTCTTCATTAAAAATGTAATCCTATCTATGCAGATTCTATCACTATTAGGAGCTGATACTTAGCATTTGTCCATAGAATTGTTGCCACAATTGCAATTTAGAGGATGATAATTCTACCGTGCCGTCGTGAAGTGCACAAGATAAAACAGCATGTGATTGTTACAACATTTCGAGAGTAATTCATTTCAGTGAGTTGGGTATTACGCCGCCTTTAGTATTTAAGGGTACCAGATTCCTCGATTAACCTCCGGACCTCGAATAAAAACCAGGGTATCAATTAAACGCCGGACATCGATTTAAAGCCGGGTAGTTGTTATGAACGGAATTCTCCCCATAATCTTTGCGGGGGTGAGAGTGTCTGAAAGAAATATACGCCCGGGCATTAAATCGAGGAAATACGGTTTATAAGAGCACTTCGGTGTTTAATGAAACCCATGGGTAAAGTGATGACAAACCGAGGATCATAATCGGCTTCTGGCGCATGTGACGCAGCTCAGCCACAGTCAATCACGGCGACTTAGGTCAGTGTACCACCCATATCCCATCTTTAGAGTGAAAAAGACCCTGAAGACTAATGGTTGAATGGAAAAGTATGCTTCCTCATACAACCGACACATAGGTTCGCCTGTTGATGTTTGTTTCTGTGAACCAGGTGTAGGTGTACAGTGGTCGAATTTCAACCAGCCCGTCTCGGAAAGTGATAACTTCTCCCTGCTGGACGCCATTTTGATGTTGCTAGGCGACACGGCAATCCACCTCCTCATCACCTGGTATGTGGACAATGTGTTGCCGGGGGAGTTTGGTGTGCCCAAACCATTCTATTTCCCCTTCACCGTAAGTACTGTTAGTTTTATTTGTTGATAGTGTGAAAGTGTTGTCGTGTCATACAGAAAAGGTATTTAAAATGATCAAAACATGCACCAGAACTATCCGGATGTCTTCCTAAAATATAATATTAACCGGTTGTAGAAACATGATTTTCGAGCGTCCCTTAAGAAGTGTTGTTGGTCAGGTGAATAAAATATTCAAAGAGTGACATCCCATTGATAGGCTTGAACTTATTTTCGTTCCTCAAATTAGTTAACAGATACCATTAGAAGAAGACAAGAATTATTGTAAGAAATATTTGTTTGGCCTGTCCGCACTCGTCTCATGATCGTCATTGGTGTTCAAACAACTTGCAGGACGTTTGCTTTCCTTATTGTGACGACTGGATGCCCAATTTCCATTTACATCATGTTTCTAAACGTTATGAGTCTTGTTTCCTAGGGAACGTACTGGTGTGGCACCAACCAGGTTAAACCAAAAGATGTCGAAGTGACGAACCAAGACACTACATACTTTGAAAGGGAACCAACAGAAATGCAAGCTGGAATCTCCATAAGAAACCTCAGAAAGGTAATGAGTGAGTGGGTGGGTTGGGTTTAACGCCGCTCTTAACAGTATTCCAGTTATATCGCGGCGTGTTACCTAGATGTGTGAGGAAAGCAAGAAGTGATGCAGGTCTCAGACGTTTACCACTTTGGTGAAACCCACGAGCACGGGTATGGTGCTGACAAACCTAGAAACATAATCGGGGCGAACCGGGATTTGAACCCACAATAATAGGTTTCTGGCGTGCCCAAGGGACGCAACATCTACCCCGAAAGGTAATGTCAGGCATAGGTGTGTTTCATTCTAATTCATTCGTGACCACTCGTTTCTTTAAAAAAAACGCCATCCAGTTAATACGAGTTAGTCAAGAAGGGTTCGAATCCAATGGGTGGAACTATCACAAATGTCATTGCTATTGCAGGTGTTTGGTAGTGGCTCAAGAAAAAAGGTAGCTGTCGACGGAATGAGTCTTAATATGTTCGAGGGTCAGATCTCTGTTCTCCTGGGTCACAACGGCGCTGGAAAAACTACAACTATGTCTGTTCTTACAGGTACAGTAAAGATTTATGTTCATTAGGTTACGTTGCTTTAGTGTTCTTAAGTTACACAGTATTAATTACGGGTATATTAGGGATTCATTACGCTTTGTACAGTATATTAGAATACGCCTGTACTGCTACTCAATGCCAATAATTGGTGTGTTGGTTGATGTTGGTGCCGTGGTGACATCTCTACTCTTTCTCCTCAGCAACATTGCACGTGTTTCTTAAACTGACCTCTTCCCGAAAAGCAGAGTAGGTTCAGACTAATCGACAAACTGAATACATCAGGTTCTACTCGAGATACTCTGTATCTAATAAATTTTGTTTGTTTGTTTGTTGATTAACGCCGCACTCAGCAATATTCCAGCTATATGAGGGCGGTATGTAAATAATCGAGTCTGGAACAGACAATACAGTGACTGATATTATTAGCATCGATCTACGCAACTGGGATACGATGAGATGCATCAACCAAGTCAGCGAGCCTGGCCACCTGATCCCGCTAGTCGCCTCTTACGACAAGCATAGTCGCCTTTTGCGGTTGCCGAAGATCTTCATGGGTGTATCTAATACAAATTCCAGATAAGTTAGGTGTGCTGTGCCTGGAAAGTCCAGTTTAATGTCTTTATCATTCAGGATTCATCAGTCCAAACCATTACCATGTCGTATTTACATTACACGGTAAACACCATCACATGGTGCTTCACGACCTTCATCAGTAAACAGTGAGACCCTTTGTTTGATTTTTGAAGGTTTCATCCCTGCATCTGGAGGCACCGCCATTGTGAACGGTTACGACATCAACAACGACATCCAGAGTGTCCGCCAGAGTCTCGGTCTCTGTCCTCAACACAACATCCTGTTTGACACTCTCACCGTACAGGAACACATGGAATTCTTTGCCAACGTAAATATCATCAGACAAAAAGCCTTTCAAATATTCTATCCGCAGCAGTATAATTTGTCTGAATATATGTGATTCCCTTATTAAGCTTACATGTGAACACAGAGCAGTGCGTGATGAACGTCAAAATCGTTTCTTCTCTCTGTGTGATACACTCATATAATATTATGAAATTTCACAACTTTTGAGGTACAATAGAGCATGCACTTTCTACGAAGATTTCACAGAGCGTCTTGATGTGACGTTGTTTGATCAAGGTTACAGCATCCAAGCCTTCGGAAAGCTTTCAAAAACGTTTATGGTAGACATGTGGAGGACATTACCAACTTGGTCAATGGCCAAGATGATGATGGATGCAATTCCCTATTTTGACTTTTACCATATGTTCCCATGTTTCTTAATAAGAACACTTGACATGCCCTTGCATGTTTGTTTTTGGGACGTGTGTCGCCGGTATTACCTAAAGGTAAGTACCACTAAACTCCACGGTATAAGGTACGAGGAACTCCCAAATTGATTGTCAGAGTGGATTTTCACTTTGGTGAAATTCACGAGCACGGCATGGTGCTGACATTATCGAGGTGAATTTGGGATTCGAACCGACGACAAACGGAACGAAAGTCTAAGACCACTTGCCTACCCGTGCCCAATTATCACTCACAACATTACTGTCAGACCTTACGTCAGTTGTCCTTCAATTAGCATTATTCTAAATATGCCTTCCGCTCGTCAATGTTAACTTATTGTTTTCTTTACAGACAGACAGATTGTTTATTTGAGTCTCACCTCACAAAAATATTTACATAGATACATATAACAGTACATATAAGTGACACCCCTTAAGGGTTACGAGAGACTTAAAATATATGAAAGTATATACAGCATACATATATGTAAAAGGGGTATATACAATATACTACCGGACACAAGCCATATAGAATATCTTTTCTTTACAGCTAAAGGGATGCCCGAGAAGTGACAGGGAAGCTGACATCACGGCAATGATCAGCCAAGTCGGCTTGGATTCCAAAAGAAACACACAGTCGCAACACCTGTCTGGAGGACAGAAGAGAAAACTGTCCGTAGGCATTGCTCTCATCGGAGGGTCCAAGGTAAGTTGGGTCAGACAGCATCAGTTGAGTTTAACAATATCAGCTCGGACTTCATGGTATTTACAACAGCAAACGTCTGTATCGCATACGTTTTGTACTATGTGGCATAACTGTTTGTTTTACTTCACTGTTACCCGTGAAGATCCGGGGTAGGATAGGTCTTCAGCAACCCATGCTTGCCGTAAAAAGCGACTATTCTTGTCGTAAAGGCCGACCAACGGGATCGGGTGGTCAGGCTCGCTGACTTGGTTGATGCATGTCATCGTGTCCCAATTGCGTGGATCGTGGTGAACAAAAAACTTCCCATTTTTACACATCCACTTGGATGTGTTATGTTATATTATTCTCTTTATTTCGTGTTCAGATCGTCATCCTGGATGAGCCGACTTCCGGTATGGATCCTGCAGCCAGGAGACAGACATGGGACATCCTTCAGAGGAACAGACAGGGCCGGACCATGCTGCTGACCACTCACTTCATGGACGAGGCTGACCTTCTGGGTGACCGCATCGCCATCATGGCAGAAGGGGTGGTCAAGTGCTGTGGGACATCGTACTTCCTGAAGAAGCTGTACGGTAATATATCTTGTTATAGTAAGATTGAATGTATTTAGGATTGAAAACTATAAAATAATACTTGATGCTGGAACTACTTTCAGTCTGCATCAATAACAGCAGGGTTCAAGGCCTCAGTAAGCTTTCAAAACGTTTTATAGCAGACATGTGGACATGTGCTACATATTTATGCTGAAAAGGACTCTGGAATTGTTTCAATTATAATACATTGTTTATGTTTTTAATGATCTATGCATCATTTGTATCTCCAGGAGCTGGCTACCACCTGGTGATGGTGAAGGAACCCACCTGTCAGGTGGCATCAGTGACGGCAGTTGTCCAGCAACACGTCCCTACAGCAGTCATGGAGAGTGAGATCAATGCTGAACTCTCCTACCTGCTGCCTGATGACCAGTCAGCCAACTTTGCTGCTCTCTTCACGGAGATTGAAAGACGTAGTCGGGACCTGGGCATTTGCTCCTTCGGGACGACAGCAACCACGATGGAGGAGGTGTTCTTGAAGTAAGTATCATATATAAGAGTTTCACCATATGCAAGCATATTTGGTAATAACTGATTGTCATGATGTGTGCGCTTAGTATTTCCATGTTAAATGGCTTTTAGAAGATACTCCTACTGTGTTTTGAAATTCAAATTGTTTAGTTTTCTAGTATTTTTGTGTGAAACTCATGTTAATTATCGAATTGAATTAGTTAAGGTACCGACCAATATCATATTCTGGATTGTGTATGTGTGTGTGTGTCGGGGGAGGGGGGGGGGGGGGGGGGGGGGGGGGGGGGCATGTCAGGGATTTTGCTTGGAGACTTGATATGTTAACAGTGGCAAAACCAAGTTTTTTTTTAATTACAACCATGAGCCTAAATATTTTCGTTTACATCAAAATACCTTGCAAAAGTGTAATTTTTGTGGCAGACAATTACTTTTTTTTCAAAAGTCAAAAGCATTGTTACCTTTGGAACAATTTTCTGGGACAATTTGGGAGCACGGGTGGCCCAGTCGTCTAAGGCGTCGCGATTCGATGGGCACGCCAGAAACCTAGGATTGTGGGTTCGAATCCCCGTTAGCCCCGATTATGTTTCTAGGTTGGTCAACACCATACCCGTGCCCGCGATATAACTGGAATACTGTTAAAAGCGGCGTTAAACCCAACTCACTCACTGGGACAATTTATTTTTACCCCATAAAATCCAAGCCAGAAAGTTCTCCTTTCATGCAGTAGGGTAGATTAATCTCCCTAAACATTGAACTGATTGAATGCCAATGTTTGATACGACCTCAGAGTTTTACTTCTGTTAATTTGGGAAAGGAACAGAGTCATGAACTCACAATTTGGTTGTCTTAAATAATCAATTGAATTTGGTCAACAGAGTGGATACGGAGCCGTCCAATTCAGAGACGGAACTGAGGGTAACAGCAAAGGTTAGCAACGTGAAAAGTGAAGGCTTCACTAACGCCGCGATGGTAGATGCTGAAGAAGAATCCAACGAGAATGGATTTGGCCTCTCGCACATGGGTTCCTATGGAGCTGTAGGTCATCGAGATCATCAGAAACTGCTAGGTATATGATGTTATGACCTTGATGAATGATAACTGGCAACTGCAAGACAGGAAAGGAGTTATATCTATTTTGTGATCACAAGTAGTCATTCTGGTCATTCGATCATCTATTATAACATAGGGCCAGAATCGTATAGCCGTCGGTTCGAATCCAAGACTTACCACAATTATGTTTCATGGTTCGTCATCACCATATCCGTGCTCATGGGTTTCACTAGGTTGTATTGCTCCTCCAACATATAGCTGACACGCCGTGAGATAACTGAAATACTGAGAGTGTTCGAAGCGATGTTAAGCCAACTCACCTACTCACATTAACAAACTAAATTGCTGCAGCCATCTACAACATCCTCTCTTCTATTTCAGCTTTTAATCGAGGGTTCAAGAAAGTGAAAGGTGTCCAACTGGAGCTATCCCGATTCAGAGGAATGTTTATGAAGAAAATGATCCTGACTCTAAGGAACAAGGTGATGACTATTATACAACTCTTCATCCCAGTTATCTTTGGAATCGCAGTCTTCGCAGCTCTTACTGCCTCAGGTTCAGGCCGGAAGGACGAGGGACCCATCACTCTAGACATGATGCAGTTTAATAAAACCATTGTTCCATACCAAAACGGTAGCCCACCAGTACAGCTAACGACGGATCTTACCAACAACTTTGTCAGCCTTTTCGAAGGAACCTCTAACAAACCCCAATGGGTTGACTTGGACACATACAAGAATATGTCTCATTACTTTTTATCCGAGGTCGGCGATGTGGGGTTGCCTGTTTTTGATGTGAAATATATAATTGCTGCAGAATTTGAATCAAACACTACTGCTCGAGGTCACTACAACGGCCAACCATACCATGCACCACCGATAATATTGTCATCTATTCTGAATGGGATCCTCAGATATTTCACATCCCCCCATCATTCTATAACAACAACCAACTTCCCTTTACCCCAGAACCAGTCTGACAGTTCTCGAACAACTCTTGTCGCTGGAGCCGGTACTGGATTTGGGATTGCCTTCTGCTTGATGTTTGGAATGGCTTTCCTGACATCATCCTTTGTCCATTTCCTCATCAAGGAGAGGCAGGTTGGCTCGAAGCATCTTCAGGTCGTCAGTGGAGTGGGACCTATTGTATTCTGGATGTCCAATTTGGCCTGGGACTTCATCAACTACATCATTCCGTGTCTAGGTCTCCTAATCGTGTTTGCTGCTTTCCAGTCAGAAGCCTATGCCGGGGACGGGAGACTGGGGATCATGTTCCTCATCTTTGTGGTGTACGGCTGGGCCGTACTACCTTTCATGTACGCACTGCAGTATTTATTCAAAGTTCCTGCATCTGGAATGGCCATGATCACCATTCTAAACATCGTTACAGGTATGGCGGAATTTACTTTCGGTCTATAGTTGGTTGGTTTGGTGTCTAGAGCCGCACTCAGCAACATTCCAGCTATGTGACGGCGGTCTGTAAATAATCGTCGATCCACGCAATTTTGGATCGATGACATGCGTCAACCAAGTCAGCGAGCCTGACCACCCGATCCCGTTAGTCGCCTCTTACGACAAGCATAGTCGCCTTTTACGGCAAGCATTGGTTGCTGAAGACCTATTCTACCCGGGATCCTCACGGGTCTTCGGTCTATAGAATACTACCGAACAGTTAAGGTTGTGAAAGCATATTTTGTACAACAATTTAACCAATTTCAAGAGACACCTTATGTAAAAGTATTCTGGTACTGAGTGAGTGAGTGAGTGAGAGAGTTTGGCTTTACGCCGCTTTTAGTAGTAATATAACTGCGACTAACGGGATCGGGTGGTCAGGCTCGCTGACCTGGTTGATGCATGTCATCGTTTACCAATTGTGTGGATCGATGCTCATGATGTCAATCACTGATTTGTGTGACACGCCATTACATAACAGTAATACTGTTCAAACCGGCGTTAATCCCAACTCACTCACTCACTCACTCACCACCTCTCTCTCTCGTTGTGTTGTAGGAATGTTCAGCGTGATGATCACATTCCTCCTGACCATGTTCAGGGCGGGTGCGGTGCTGGGAGTCCTGGACTGGATATTCACGGTCTTGTTACCTCACCACGCTTTCGGCATGACCTTCTTTGAAATGTATATCAACTACAACAACCACGAATTCTGCATCGAACAAAACTACATAGAAGAGTGTGCGCTAGGAACAGTGATGTCTTGCTGCAAAGGTAATTTCAAATTACTTCAAAACGTCCCCGCCAGAGAATTATCTGCCTCGAATATCCGCCCAAACAGATTCCATTGGGCGTGAAAGGCAAAATAGTGCTGGAAATTATATGAAAGGTGATGACACCAGGTGTTCGCGAACAAAGGTAAGCAGGTCCTGCTCTAGCACCCGCCACTCACAAGTCGCCGCCATTTTCACTGTCTCCATGAAACGCACTCTTATAGCTAAGAGTTACTGCAAATCTTGATTCCATCCCCAAAACAAAATTGTCCATTGTTTGAAATCCTTTTCCATGAGTAAAGCTATGACGTTCACCACAATAATAACTAACGCCACAAAAACGAGAATTAGAAATGTTTCTTCTAACGTAAGTGTTTCCGCCATTTAAAAAAAACGTGTTACCGGTGTGGTTGTGTGGATGAAAAGAGGATGTAGCAACTAAATTCAGCTGCAACTTTTGCAGCTGCACTATTAAACCAGGAAGAGTAGCTTCCCTTTGACCGTGGAACACAAATGCAAGGGGAGAAAGACACTGGAATTAGAATAATGTAAGATTACCAAAATAATGCATTTTATTAATTAATAATAAAATTATATATTTGTTACCTAACGCCGCACAACTCCTGCCTTGCGACGGAGGCCTGCACACAATCTGGAGTGTGGATCTTCATCCCTTCAGCCGTACCCTATCTGCTCCAGCACGTAACCAAATACCCAAGTCCCATACATGTACATGTGACCAGTGGGCGGTCGGGTAGCCTAGTGGTTAAAGCGTTCGCTCGTCACGCGAAGACCCGGGCTCGATTCCCGACATGGGTACAATTTGTGAAGCCCATTTCTGGTGTCCCCCGCCGTGATATTGCTGGAATATTGCTAAAAGCGGCGTATAACAATACTCACCCACTCACATGTGACCAGTTCGCGCAAATGCCATTGTTCACTTTCGACTCCGTCTCGGCGTCTGTGTAGAACTGGAGCTCGAGGTTCATGCAGCTGCACTGCTGTTTTCAGTGTCTGTAAAGAAGGACATCACCTGTATGTTTGTTTGTTATGATATATCCCTCGTTCAAGGTTGTTTGATCAAACAATTAATGTTGTGATGCTTAGTAAGACATATAATGGTCATGTTATTTGAAGCCTTGTTGGTGGGAACACAGGAGTCATTATCTAAAAATAGACGCCCTCATGCATATTCATGACCATCTCCACGGGCTCGCGTGTGGAGATGGTCATGAATATGCATGAGGGCGTCTATTTTTAGATACGGACTCCTGTGGTGGGAACAAGTTCAAAATTTTCATGTCGGGCAGTCAGACTTTGGATGACAGTTGTTTCCGTTTGTGAACATTCTACCAATAACAACATCACGGACTGACTTAAGCCACTCCGAAAGACATGTTTATCTTCTCTGTTGGTCTATATTGAGGCATTTTTTTTACATTTGAGTTGTGATCCCAATTATTTGCATTTGCACATGTTTTCGTTGAACGCCGCATTCAGCAATATTCCAGCTATATGACGGCGGTCTGTAAATAATCGAGGCTGGACCAGAAAATCCAATGGCTAACACCATACAGTGTGCGAGCTTAGCCTCAATTTTGTAATTGATATCTTTTCCCGTAAAAACCAAGCCTCGTTCTCAAGTACGACCTACATATAATAAACAAAGTTTGCTAGCAGACGACAGATTCACTCTCTAGTCTCTGTCAACTGGACACACTGGGTATTTACTGAAACAAATATGTACCTTTTCTCCATCAGCTAACAGCAACTGAATTCAAGAAAAGTCATACAAAATATTATTTTACTTACCTTAAATAATCCATTTCTCTCATCATTTCTTCATTGACATTGTTTGCTGTGTGAAGGGTAATACATGTAATTGTTTTCAACACACAAATTCTTTGACAAGGAAATATTATGTCACATATCTTCTTCTGTGGTATCCTTCCAATGTGAATAAGTTCTGGACACTATTCCTGCCTAACCTTGAATTGACTTTATACAATACAATTCCTCAATTATCAAAAAAAATAATTAAATCATTCCACTAAGTTTGATTGTTGTAATTTTTCATAAAATAATATTTGTCTCTTCATCTGAGCTTGAATTATTTTCATCATCACAGTATGTATTGTCAATTGGAGGTACTGTTAGAAATGTTTGTCTGTCCTCAAAATAATCGTCAATTTCCATCAAAGTTTCAATGTGCTGTGAATCAATGATATCAAAATTGGAATCATTATCATATACATTTTCTTCGCGTTCATTTTCATAGTAAGAGATTGTTGAATCTGAGTCATAATTGTTAGTGCTGATAGGTAGTTCTGGTGCAGTAACGGTATTGCAACGTGGACACTTTCCTCCCATGTTATGAGGATTGTCACATTTGGATTTACATGCACATTGTGGAGTACAGGGCTGACACATCTTGCAGCAGCTCCTGCAACGACTACCAAGTCCACATTTACCCTCTTTTGCTTTACATGAACATTTGGATATAGGCAACGGGCGTTTCTTAGTCAACAGTATTCTGTCTTCATCTATATTTTCTTCCCATTTTATTTTGATGTCATTGGGTTTTTTTATCCATCCATATGATAAGCATTTGGTATGATGTTCACTAAAGGATATTGGACTCTGTATAGCTAAAGTGAGGATAAATTCTCCTCTTAATCTATGAAAGTTCAAGGCAGTGTCAGATGGAGGTATTAATTTGTATAAATCTTTTGATCCATGGTTGCTGAAATAGCAGACTCTTCGAACCATCTCAAGCCAATCAGTTTCAATAGTTAACTGAAAATTTGAAGTCAAACAGTTTTTAACTGGGTATCCAAGCCATTCCAATAATGACATCATCTTGGGGCTCATCTTATTTCCAGCAACTTTAAATGAACTGAAGAGAGCAGAAGAACTTGGTTGCATATGTCTATACATACGTGGATACTTGTCAAGATAAGCACAACAGAGAAGTCGCATAAATGCTGCCTTTGAAACAGATACAATGCCCTCATGGGACACTGTTACTAATGGATCATCATGTGGACTTATGAAATCTGAATAGTCAACAAAACAGGATATAAAACGCTGGTATGACATTCCAAAGAAACTGCTGATATAATCTGATCCACTCATGATATATATTGCTAAAAATGATACACAAGCCTGTGTATTTTGAGCCCAAACACCAAGTTGTTGAATCCTATTAACACCGTCATTTATGTGTATATATTCTCTGTCCATTGCAAGTTCAACACACACTAACTTGTCATAAGTACTTGTTAACCTGAGATGTCCAATTTCCATGATTGCCAAACCATACATCCATTTGTCTGTGTCATTGGCAACAATGACAACCTGAGCACAGTCAGACTGTGATGCATAGAACCAAACCCCACAGTTTGCTACGCCTTTGTTATTATCCCGAACTTCAGAAATTGTATGATTTTCAATACAAGCAGGTGATGTTCCCAATGAAGGTGAATCTATGATAATTTTAACTTTAGCTGTCGTATCCTTTGCTTTAGCAATGAACATATCTGTTAAAAAGGATATAAGTCTCTGTTTATAATTTGCATTTTGGAGAGCAGTTACATATTCCGATCCATGAAAAACTCTAGATGTCTTGTTGATTTCATGATCCTGGAAGTTTTGAAAAGAAGTCTTTGTTTTCTGTTTTCTTTCTTCGTGCAAACTCGATCTAACAGGAGGTAGAAAATCTGGTTTGTCAAAAACAATTGTTATTACTGATGCCCCTCTTGAATTCCAAGCTTGCAAACAGTGTGTACCCAATAAAAGATTCCAAGATCGTCATAAGTATTTACATCAGGGGGCGTTGGTTCATGAATGTATTTCAGAAAGTCAATAACTATTTCAGTATGGTTATCTTTGATAATGAATGGTATTTCTGTATGGAACATAGGTAAGAGTTCATCTTTTTTTTGCAATGCATCCTTAAATTTGCTCTTTTGACGCCCTCTTATTTCACCGAATTCATTGCAAAATGACAAAGGATACTCAATAGTTTTTTCAATATAATTTCCAGCTTTTTGCAACTGACAATATGCCCTCTTAAGAAGAAGTGTTACTTGGCCAAGGTTTGATTTCTGTGTTCTGGCTGTGGTCTTTCTGCGAGAGAATGTACGCATCTTTCTACGACACTGGCGGCGTGGAACCTCAGCAGGAGGTTGCAGTACATGTTGTCTGATATAAGTACGCATCCGGGATTGACCTGCTGAACTAATATTCAAGAGATCATGTTTTGTTTCATTGTCAAGATCACTTGCTGCACCTTCTGTAAAAACATTTTTGAGAATTCTTGGTTCATTTGAATTGAATATGTGTAATGCTTTTATGGCAGGATATATGGCTTGAACATAGTCATATCTGTTAGAGCTGGTATACTGTTTCTTCTTCTTAAATATAAATATTATGTCCTGAAGTAGTGACATAATTTTGTCTAAGTATGCCATAAAGTTAGCAAGTGTCACAGTTCTATATTCTGAGGGCCTCGTTGTTAATTCTTTCAGCCTCCTATTAATGATTTGTTCATGGCCCTCATCAAGGGCAACATTGTGAAATGGATTAGCAGTAATGCTAAGGGTCCATTCACCTTGAAGAAAATGATTCCTTATATCTTCAGGAAGCAAAATGACATCTTTCATCGTTTGACATGCTAATTCTTCATATTTGTTATGTGAATATGCAAAAAATAGTTCTGTTATAACTGGCAGACAACTATTTCTCAGATTGAAGTTTCCTGATCTGATTGCAAAAAAGTAACCGGTGTAGGCATTTAAGTATCTTAGCATTTGGGCCCAAAATTTGGAAACCTCATCAAGGTTACTGCTTGACGTTTTTATGCTTACCCACTCTTCTAAGCCATTAATAACACAATGTTCCATGTCGTTAAGAGCTTCATACAGGATGGTTTCGTGCAGGGAAGATAACATGCTGTGGATGTCACGCCACTGGACGATATCTTTCATGTGTTTGCAGAGT